AGTTTGCGAATAGCCACCACATATGCTTTAATATCATCCCCTGATTGCTGCTGCTGTTGGTAAAAGTGGAATCTTTCTGCAATTTCCAGTGGTTTGGGCTGGAAATGATCCTCTAATAGTTTTAGCAGTTCCACCAGTGTTTTGCTTGCTGGTTTATCAGGGAACAGAAGGTCTCTTACAGTGTCATATGTTTTAGCACCCACCAGTGTCAAACTATCTGCCATTCAGGGGGTATGGTGTTTGCACTGAAGTAATGCTCTAATCTTTTAGTTCAGGAGCTCCAGGAGCTCTGCTCCCCATCAAACTCACATAATGTGCTGTGGGAATATTAATGGGATAATAATAGTAACAGTTGAGAATTGCCCACTATTTCAATTCTCAGATCCCAAAGAACGTTTATCGTGTTAAGTGGAATGTATTTCATATAATTAATATCACAATGTATAAAAATAGATTTTATTTATGATAACCAATAATTAATAATAATATATGTAACATGCATGACAATAATCAATGAATATTCAGTATAAAATGGTATGCAATACAAAGGAATGGGTATTACGTTTCAATGGCTAAAAAGCATTTTCTGTCAAGACTTTATTTATGACTATCTTTCACAGACTTAAAGTGAAAGTTTTCACAGCGAAGAACAGAATTCCTCAGAGTGCAGCGTAATGTCGTAAAGTTTAGCCGACAGTTAGAATAACCCTTTCAATGCTGGCTAGATCTCCTAGGTAGTTAAGATCTACGCTTATGTATTTTTAAATAAAATAACATTTAAACCAGTTTAAATTCATTTTCTTAAACCATCCAATAAGAGAGTCTAATATGTTATATAAGCAGATTTTTAATTTGTCTAAAAGATATCTATCTTAATTTAGAGCAAATCAATACACCTGGATAAAAACAGCGGTATGCTAACACGTGATAATATCACATCAATATATAATTATTCTTAATTCCACCTGCAGAATGGAATGTTTATAACTATATATTCTTAGTTAACTAAGATTTCTTAATATGGAAATCTGACCGTGCTTTATCCAGTCATATATAATGCTATTAATACATTTTAATTAATTTAATTTAATTAAATGAAACCAGTATAATTACCAGTTGAGTAGATATTTCATCCGATTGGTAGTCTCTCTGCATGGAGGTGTTGGTTAGAAAGTCAGTAAATTCTAAGTGTTAGAGTTTTAGGAGTAGAGTGTTAGTCTCAGATGTTGTCCGAGTTGGAGTCCCCAAACTTCCAATTCCTCTCTCCTCTCCTTTGCATATCTTGCATCTGCCTCCTTCGTCTTTCTATCTTCCCTTTGTCTTAACTTTTAAAGGGCCATACTCTCTGTACGTCATCAGTTGATAACCCAATAGAAGCACTAGAGGTGTGGTTATCTTCCAGATCGCAAATTAGTTATTTGGTCTGTAGAGGGCAGTCTTGTCCGACTAAACATACCTATCCAGGAAAGAGTTAACTTTTCCTGGTGGCTATTTTGACGTCATTTTGGCCTATCTAGATAGTGGCTATAACTTACGTATCCTTCAAAGATCAAAGGGTTTCTTAAATTTTGTCCAGACTTAGCGTCTGCAATTCCTGCCATAATTTCTGATATGACAGATCATGAACTAAGTTTACCCTTTTCCATACAATGGTACCTTATATATATAGACAGTTAAATATTAAATTATTTAATCTTCTCTGTCACAATTGTCTGGGTTTAGATTTGATTATATTCTTCTTATCACTTGTTTATACTATGCTATACATTCCTTAGCTCTGGCAAAGAGGCCAGTCTTACAGAAAGAAATCTAGTGTCTTTTTGTTAACTTGAAATAACAAAATGGAGTCTGGTCTGTTCAGAGTGACTCAGAATATACCCTTTTAGTTTCTATCATAGCACAAAATGTCTGCCGATATAAATACTCTGACAGTGCCTATCCAAACTCACACAATGTACCTGTCAGTGCCATATCCTAGCTGTCTGCTTTATGGCTGGCTGCTCTGTGGCTGGCAGTGTGTAGTGAGATTACCTCTTGTTATTTTCTAGTGCAGGCTTGGTAGGGCCTTTGTACATCCCACCCTCGTCGCCACTGTTATGGTCCTGACTGCGTCACATATGAGACCAGTAGTTTCATACAACCTTGCTTTATTGCTGAACATTTACTTTATAATCAGTCTTATTATAACTGACAGGAACACATGAGTAAAACATCCTCTGTGCAGCACTGTATCACACTCACTGACTTAACATGGCTGCCATGCTCTCTGACCTGTGTGTTATAACACTAGTTAAAGTGAGAGGGAAGTGAGAGGGCAGTGTCCTACATTCCAGGTATAACACGGGAAATCTGTCGAACGGTCGCTTGAAATAAAGCGAACAGAGACAGAACAGTAATACAGGAAAAAACTGAACAGAGAAGAAAACGAATACAGAAAACTCGCGGACGAGTACATTCGCAAAACGAACAACCCAAAGGGAAACTACTGAATGCTGAGGATGTACGCGAATGCACGCACCCGTGTGAATGCCTGATAGAAGATACAAACCGACGACTGTACATAGATATACGCATTCAGTAGATTGAAAAGGACAGAATAGGCGAACGCGGGCGCACGTTGATAGCGCACAAACGCAAAAGCCTGACAGGCGGGAAATCATAAACCATCATTGCATTAAATTTTGTAAGTGCTAAGGATTCTATTTAAATTTTTTGGTACAATATTATTACTTATAATTTCTTAAGTGCCATCATATTACACTGCATGGTACAACTGAGTATATAAGAGAAACAGAGGATGGGCATAACGGAGACAGTGTAAGAGTATAAGTGGGGAAATCAGTGTAAGAGCAATAAACATTATCTGTATCATAGGCAAGCACTGCACTGTATTAGCAAGACTTTCGGCAATGATTGTGTCAGAGTAGGGACAGTAAGTGAATGATGGCATATACAGTAATGATGGATTCAGTGTAGGTGCAGTAATGAATGGTGGTATATATAGTAATGATGGATTCAGTGTAGGCGCAGTAAGTGAATGACGGCATCTACAGTAATGATGGGCTCAGTGTATGAGCAGTAAGTGAATGATGGCATATACAGTAATGATGGATTCAGTGTAGGTGCAGTAAGTGAATGGTGGTATATACAGTAATAATGGATTCAGTGTAGGTGCAGTAAGTGAATGGTGGTATATATAGTAATGATGGATTCAGTGTAGGTGCAGTAAGTGAATGATGGCATATAGAGTAATGATGGATTCAGTGTAGGCACAGTAAGTGAATGATGGCATATACAGTAATGATGGGCTCAGTGTAGGCGCAGTAAGTGAATGGTGGCAAATACAGTAATGATGGATTCAGTGTAGGCGCGGTAAGTGAATGATGGCATATACAGTAATGATGGGCTCAGTGTAGGTGCAGTAAGTGAATGGTGGTGTATACAGTAATAATGGATTCAGTGTAGGTGCAGTAAGTGAATGGTGGTATATATAGTACTGATGGATTCAGTGTAGGCGCAGTAAGTGAATGGTGGTATATATAGTAATGATGGATTCAGTGTACGCGCAGTAAGTGAATGATGGCATATACAGTAATGATGGGCTCAGTGTAGGTGCAGCAAGTGAAGAATGGCATGTACAGTAATGATGGGCTCAGTGTAGGAACAGTAAGTGAATGATGGGCTCAGTGTACGTGCGGTCACTAAATTAAGGCATTTGTATTACAAGTGAGTGAGTGGATTTACACTAATGACTAGGTCAGTGTATGGGCAGTAGGTGAGTATATAAGAGAAACAGAGGATGGGCATAACAGAGACAGTGTAAGAGTATAAGTGGGGAAATCAGTGTAAGAGCAATAAACATTATCTGTATCATAGGCAAGCACTGCACTGTATTAGCAAGACTTTCGGTAATGATTGCGTCAGTGTAGGGACAGTAAGTGAATGATGACATATACAATAATGATGGATTCAGTGTAGGCGAAGTAAGTGAATGATGGCATATACAGTAATGATGGATTCAGTGTAAGCACAGTAAGTGAATGGTGGTATATATAGTAATGATGGATTCAGTGTAGGCGCAGTAAGTGAATGACGGCATATACAGTAATGATGGGCTCAGTGTAGGCACAGTAAGTGAAGAATGGAATATACAGTAATGATGGGCTCAGTGTAGGAACAGTAAGTGAATGATGGGCTCAGTGTACGGGCAGTCACTAAATTAAGGCATTTGTATTACAAGTGAGTGAGTGGATTTACACTAATGACTGGGTCAGTGTATGGGCACTAGGTGAGTATATAAGAGAAACAGAGGATGGGCATAATGGAGACAGTGTAAGAGTATAAGTGGGGAAATCAGTGTAAGAGCAATAAACATTATCTTTATCATAGGCAAGCACTGCACTGTATTAGCGAGACTTTCGATAATGATTGCGTCAGTGTAGGAACAGTAAGTGAATGATTACATATACAATAATGATGGATTCAGTGTAGGTGTAGTAAGTGAATGATGGCATATACAGTAATGATGGGCTCAGTGTAGGTGCAGTAAGTGAATGGTGGTATATACAGTAATAATGGATTTAGTGTAGGTGCAGTAAGTGAATGGTGGTATAAATAGTAATGATGGATTCAGTGTAGGCGCAGTAAGTGAATGGTGGTATATATAGTAATGATGGATTCAGTGTAGGTGCAGTAAGTGAATGGTGGTATATATAGTAATGATGGATTCAGTGTAGGCGCAGTAAGTGAATGATGGCATATACAGTAATGATGGGCTCAGTGTAGGAACAGTAAGTGAATGATGGGCTCAGTGTATGTGCAGTCACTAAATTAAGACATTTGTATTACAAGTGAGTGAGTGCATTTACACTAATGACTGGGTCAGTGTATGGGCAGTAGGTGAACACGTTTAAAAATGTATATGGTTGTAGAAGTCAGCCTCTACCTTCCTGGGTGAATCTTAGAGTCTTATCCATTCTCTCCCATTCTCCTCTCCTGCACTCCAATCTCCCAGGCAGTCCCCCTCCCCCCTCTGTCCCTTGTTGCCCCCTCTCTATCTTTCTCCCTCTCTCTCTCTCAATCTTCTCTCTCCCCGGCAGTCTCCCCTGTCTCTCGTTCTCCCTGGCAGACCTCTCTCTCCCTATCAGCCCTCTCTCTCTGTCAGTCTACTTTCTCTCCCTTGCAGACCTCTCTCTCTCTCCTCCCTCCCTACCATTCTCTCTCCTCCCTCCCTGACTGTCCTCTCTCTCCTCCCTCCCATACTAGTGGATCTCAGGAGCTGTCACAGGCTTTGTGGTGCTGAACAGACGCGGCCGACAGAAGATGCCTGGAGCTGGGATTGGCCATCACTGAGCAGTCTGCGGCACAGGCAGGACCGGGAGGACATGAGCGACACCAGCAGCTCTCTCCTGCCGGCCGGGGAGAGCAGGAGAACCCACCATAGACACCAGCTGACACACGAGACTGACACCAGTTTCAGGAGGCCTCTCTGTCACCCCAGAGAGAGCGGGTTAGGGGGCAGCAGGAGGCGCCAGTCCCCATGCACAGAGGAGAGCCCCCCAGTAGCCAGGAGAATCCCACCACACGAAGGGATCAGGAGGTCTAGACACCCAAGCAACCCACACCACCACCAGCACCCCAGCAGCCACCATAGGCATCCCCCCATTCATCCCCAGCATGCCTCCACTAACTACCAGCACCATAGCACCTCTCCTGACCACGGTCACATCCAGCACCACCCCAACTTCCAGAGCCATCACCCCCACACCCCCACTCACCACCAGCCACATCTCAGCCAAAACCAATACCCCCCAGCTCATCAGCACATGGCACCCCACAGCCATAGACCTCAATCTTCTAGTCCAAAACAGCAAGTCCCCAGCCCCAGGCATCATACCCACAACTCCAGGGAGTACCTACCACCAAGCCCAAGGAATTGCCCACCCAGTCCCAGAGAGCTCCCTCCTAGCCCCAGGCAGCTTCCTCATAGCCCCAGGGAACAGCCAGACTCTGCAGGGGAACAGAGGCTGAAGAGGAAAGAGTCCATGAAAGGGGCAGATGGAGCCCCCACCCAGTCTGCTAAGCCAAGTGAGCTACCCCCAACCAAAAGCAGTGATAGTGACCCTGAAGCTGAACCCCTGTTTGTGGAGCTGCACCCTATCCTCAGCTCTGTGTTTGGCCAGGTGAGTTCCTGAACCCTTCACCTATTTTCCCCCTTTCTATCATATTGTCCACTTTAACTATGCCTGCCAGCTACTAACCTTTTTCTAAAGTGCATCTCTAAATTTCATCTAATTGCTAAACCATAGTTCAGCAAATGTATCAGCATTCCATTCCCACAGACCATCTAACACAGTGAGGGGACATGCAATAACATCATTGTCTGATTTTAAACAATTTAACAATTTAACAATTTAACATTTTAAACAATGCTAGGGTATCACATAATCATATCCCCAAAACACATTAAATGTAACATTTTTAATTTTAATTATGGGCAATCATTAAACAAACTTTATTGATCTGCTACATACAGTTGACCTGTTTTCACACAAATTCACAAACAATCTTTAATGACAGGGTGGACAGAGTGGGTCCATCATAAATGGGGCAGTTATTAAGCATACAAGTGAACCATACAGACTAGGGGTAGGCAACCTTCAGTACTCTGGAAGTTTTGGACTACACCTTCCATGAAGCTCTGTCAATATTATGGCAGTAACAGCATTATGGGAGATGTAGTACACAACATTTGGAGTGGTTGCCTACCCTTGATATAGACCATGAAAAGACCATTGCTTACTGAAACACAGAACAGAAACAGAGATTCTATCCTTAGTGATTCTATCCTCTACCTCCAGATAGTCTTATGCATGTCCCAAGCATTCCGCATTTCATTTACCAAATCCACTGTTACTATTTGATGAATGTTCCTGGTGAAACCCCTTGGGATGCCTACAACCCAGCAACGTGAAACCCATGCCTTTATTACAGCAATTCTCCCTTGTTTCAGTAATTATCTAACAGTTTTCCCAGTAAAGAGGTCACCTAATGCAGTATTGCCATTTGGACAAAATTGATGGTTGATGGTCTAGGATTGGTTTGAAAATCACTGCCTTGAGTCACGATAATGAAGTATGGTGACGTTTGATAGCTGTGATCAATAATTCCAGAGTGTGTACTTTATGTACAAGAATGTCAAATAAAAATGATCCTTTATTATTAATATTATTCAATATTAATGGAAATGAAAGTTAACATTATTAGCTTTCACGAGAGTACATAATATATGCTGACTTTTTTTTTACCTTGCACCATGATTGACTGTTACGTACAGTGTTGTATATTGGATGAAAATGCTATCTTTCCAAAGACACATATATAGCATTCGTGCATAGCATTACCATTTATTTATATAGCACCTACATTGGGCACTATAGTTAAGTAGCTATAGTGCTACAAATGCATTAGGGTGTTTTATAGCAATAATATATATTTGCATTTTTTATAGGGACTGATATATTTTGGTAAATCTTGTTAAATTTTTTGTATGACTATTTATGATGATACCATTCTTATTACAATGTTCTCTTTGTGATGTATTTAACAATGCCTCAAAACACTGTTATATCATATATTTGCACTTTTTTTCCCTCCACTGTGCTCAAGACGTAATAAATTAGATTTCAGACTGCTTTTTTGGTTGCCCTCCTGCTTATAGCTGATTGAAGTATACTAATCTCCCTTATCCTTTCTTCTTTCATAGTACCCTTTCATGCCCCTTCTAGACCAAAAGGATTCACAGCTCTGATCTTTGATGACATTTTGATACATTATAAGTCAGGAATTGTCTGTAACTAGTTGGATTTTACCCTGGAAATCTCACATTTTAGTTAAAACCAGCAACGTTAGGGGGAGAGGGAGGCCAAGTTGGAGACTTTTTCGTTTTAGATATTTTTAGCTAACATTTGGACGATAAATAACTAGCGAATAACCCTGGTAATGTTGAAGGATAAGACTGTGAATATTTCTGGGTCAAATATCAATAAGAGAAGACCAGAAACGATAGATCTTTATCTGCTGTAATATATAAGGCCATTATTCTGAGAGAGTCAGACTATAGTATATGCCGAACAGATAGTTCATTCGACACACATGCCCTTGATTCTCAGTTTATGACTTTCTCCTGTAGAAACCAGAAGAAACCAGTTCATTCTTTTGCGTTTTTTTAAAGATCATTAGCAGGGAAACCCATGTAAATTAGGAGAGCAAGTGGAATAATGTCATCTCATTCGCTCTTATTGACATGTACATTGGATTAAAACTATCTAGACATTCAAATGAATATATATATGTATGTATATAAAATATATGTTAATAATCTGTGAGTTCTAACCTCACAAATACATTACCTCTACCTATATTTCTGAACACAGCAACAAAACATGGGAGATGATTTTTTCGATTACATTCAGAAGACCACTAGCTTAATTTAATTACATTAATCACAACCTGTATTTTTATTGCTACTCCGTAAACCATATAGCTATAAAAACAAACACAATCTTCATAAACCCTTTGTACATCTCCATATAACAACTAAACAGCAAAAGATGACCATGCTTCACACAACATCATGTCACTGCTATAGACAGCTTACATTTTGCCATATAGAAGTGATTAGTGACTCCTAATAACACATCATATAAAAGTCCCCATAATCCCTCTCCTTGGTGGTATACAATCATTTATGCAATACGTGACAGCTTATTTGAAGTTGTCCATCTCCTCAGATTCAGGAACATTTAGCCTTGAAATGAGGATGAGACAAATAGCTTTCAGTACTTAATATAATTCCAAATACTTCATTTACTAATTCACACAACAGCTATCTTTACCAACCACTCCCCTGTGCTGTTTTATACATTATAACGCAATAGATATACTGTATTACTTTACTTAACTGTCTGCCATTTTGTCCACTCAGCAATATTGGGGCTTGGTGTAAGAATGCCAATAGCACATCCTGTCAGCTATGCTTAGATGTGGGTACCTATGTATGAACAAGATGGGGTAGGCGCTACACAGGTTTTTAATAACACCTCACACAACATAATATAGTTTCCAACCTGTTCACTAGGGACATGGGCATGAACTTTGTACTTCGCTGCAGAATATCTTGGTGCATTATGAATAATAATAATAATAATATGAACTTTTACATTTTACTGAGTTTAGATGAAGTTAAATTCTTATGCATGCAATGAGATTTGGATTATTTCCATGCAGTTTTAAGACAGAGCCTTAATAGAAAAATAGAGTATCTTGTTGGCGAATGAGCTTGCAATCTGATAAAACATTCTATCATCATCATGACACAATATGATCAATAATACATCATTTCCCATGCCACAAGTTAAATTAAAATAGGAGAAAAAAAAACAAAACAAACTAATAATGCATCACTGCACAAATAAATGTTTAATCTATGATGTCTATCACTGCCAACCCAGGTTTCTAATGGACACTGTAGGCACCAAAACAACTTTAGTTTAATGATGCAGTTTTGGTGTACAGATCATATCCATGCAGTGTCATTGCCCAATTCTCTGACATTTAGATGTTAAATCACTTTGGTTTTAATGCTCTAGTCACACATCCCTGCATGTGACTTACACAACCTTACTTAACACTTCCTATAATGAGAGATCTAATGTTTAAACTTCCTTTATTGCACAATCTGTTTAATTTAGAGTTTTCTGCTCTGTTAATAGGCTACTAAACCCTGCCGGAGCAATCTGTATTTAATTAAAGTTCAATTTACAGAGAAGAGCATAAAAACTTCTAACGCAAGTTAACATCTGATTGAAAATGAAAGTGTTTTTTTCCATGCAGAATGTGTCAGTCACAGCTAGGGGCGGTGTGCATAAGCAGAAACAAAAGGGATTTACCTCCTAAATGTCAGAAAACTAAGCAGTGAGATTGTAAGGGCATGATCTATGCACCCAAATTGCTTCATTAAAGGACCACTATAGTGCCAGGAAAACATACTCGTTTTCCTGGCACTATAGTGCCCTGAGGGTGCCCCCACCCTCAGGGACCTCCTCCCGCCCGGCTCTGGAAAGGGGAAAGGGTTAAAAACGTACCTTTTTCCAGCGCTGGGCGGAGAGCTCTCCTCATTCTCTCCTCCTCCGTTCCTCCTCCTGGGCTGAATGCGCACGCGCGGCAAGAGCTGCGCGCGCATTCAGCCCGTCGCATAGGAAAGCATTTACAATGCTTTCCTATGGACGCTTGCGTGCTCTCACTGTGAAAATCACAGTGAGAAGCACGCAAGCGCCTCTAGTGGCTGTCAATGAGACAGCCACTAGAGGATTAGGGGGAAGGCTTAACCCATTCATAAACATAGCAGTTTCTCTGAAACTGCTATGTTTATAAAAAAATGGGTTAACCCTAGAAGGACCTGGCACCCAGACCACTTCATTAAGATGAAGTGGTCTGGGTGCCTAGAGTGGTCCTTTAAGCTAAAGTTGTTTTGGAGACTTTAGTGTCCCTTTAATGTACAATATATTGTTAGATAGAATACAGTTACCAACCATGTATACAAATACAGCCTCCTAACTGCTATAATTAATATAATTTAAATTGCAATTGATATAAAGTATCTGTTACTATCATTAACATAAGATCCGTATGAGTGGAGTGCCAAATCAAATTGTCCTATACAGAGCAGATGAGAGAAAGGGTAAGACAAATAGGAAACCTAATCACCTATTAATAAAATACATACAAAATATAACAAAATACCCTTGATCTCTGTCAACCTACAAAATATATTTCTAGAAGATAATATCCTATAATAAATATATCTTCTAATTGAATGACAATATATATAACATGAGAAAAATAGTCACATAGAACAGAAAACTATATAGATAAAAAAAAACTGAATGAAACAGACTTAAATGCAAATAAAAGTCCAGTAAAAAAAAAGTATTATTAACAGTTAAACCCGGTCTATTTTTGTTTCTCCTTTGTGGTTTCATGGGGTTTTGTTCCTCCATATAACTCTCTGATGCCTTCTTTGTTTTCCTCATCTCCCCTTGTCATCTCTTTCTTCCCTCTTAGAATCTCTAATTCTTCTCCAGTATCTCACTTTTACTTTTTATTTTTTATGCCCTACCTCCCCCATTGTATGGTCTTGTTATCCTGCTCCATTTATGGTTTATTAGGTTCTTCTTGTTGCCTTGGTGGCATATCTAGGATCAAACCCACCTTACTTGCTTACTCCCATCATTTTTAGTCACTATTATTCCAGACTGAAGTATATATTTATAACTTTGAGCATCCCTGTCACTCCCGTGGTTCCATTTCTAATAATGGCCTCAATGTAAAGCACTTTCCAAATGACTCAACACTGCTAGAACAACTTTCCAAGTGATTTATCTACAAAAATCCCTCTAGACTTTAATGGTGACTTAGTCATTAATCATTTGGAAAGTTCTTTGAACAGTATGGAATCATTTGCAAAGCGTCTTAAACTGAGGTGTAAGTGGCATAACATTTCTAACCCAAATGAAGTCACCAAATACCCTATGGTTGCCGTTACTGTCCTCTTCATGTGATCTCCTTTAGCCTAACTCTAGTCCTTTGGAGGAATCGTGGCTGAATGTACCATGTGATCTGCCATGTGTACTGATGGTAGTCATAGGCTGCAGTAAGTCAGCTGAGCTGTTACTAACTTGCATGGTACTGCGGATCTCAGGACTCCCTACAGTGGACATCCGTGCCATAGCTGCATTAGCAGTAATTTCATTGGTATGGTTCTATTATTTGTGGTGCATTTTTGCATGTAAATTGAGGAAGGTATAGCTGGCTCATACATGAAGAGTGGACTTGAGTGCTTGAGATTTCAATTTTGTTTTTCTAAAATGACTTGGACATTTTTAAAATGAATCTATAAGGGCCATACCAGTAGAGTCTGATATGGCAATAACCTACGGAGAGGGGAGCGGGGAGGATCAGAATCTATAGGATTCTTCTATAACAATAAGTATAATATGCTGCAGTAGTATTATGGTGGTTGGCGTTTCCCTTTAAGACACTCTAGCCGAAATGTCATCTCTTTAACTTTGTTAAAAGAATCATATTGGAGAAGTTTTGCCAAACCTTTTTATTTGCATTATATATTAATCTAATTGCATATTTCCTTTGTCTCTATGTTTTTCTTACACGCAGAGCCATTACCTAAGTCTATATCCCAGCACTCTGAAACTAGTACACCCATGCAATGTGTAACATGTAACAGTCATGCTCTCTAGTGTGCACTCTAGATATTGCACTCTCAGTACATGTGTTGGAATGTTTCTCTGCTAGCCAGACATTTGCTCTGCAGTATCATTGCCTGTCTGCAGACTGTGCCTTATTAATCCACAGACTGCCACACACATTATGGATCTGAAAGATCAAGGTGCATATAACATATACAGCATATACAGACTCTGCTTTTTCTAATTGGCTGCTCATTTTGTATTTTCAACGGCTGATAGCTTCTTGTATAAATGACAGCCTGCAGGAGGCGATTAAATTAGTTCACCCAACGCATCAAAAGCTTGGAAACATTAATCTTGTTATACCACTTGCAAGAAAGAATTTAAAATTCTTCTGACCTCTGTATCCAAGACAGATTTGACTTTGAAGAGATGAAGGAGCAACATTAGCTGGGTACATGTCTACAGCTGTGTTTTAGTGCAGCTTGGGAGGAGTGTCAAACCTTTCCCTATAAGGATTTTTGTTAATAAAGGATTTGTGTAGCATTTATTTATTTATTTTTAAAGTATTTAGGAATAACACGACTATTGTCCTATACACTTAAGAGGCTACATAAAGAGACATGTTCAAAGTTAAAACCAGTAGAAGTAATAGCACAGCAAGAAAAACACAGTTCTAGGTTTGAGAGACTGCAGGAAAATAAGCAAGCAAATATTATGCAGTAAGAATATACGAGAAGGTAAACACACTGCTAGCATAAAACGAAATAATAAGAAAACAGAGTATTTATATGAATAGGAGAAGACCATGAGAGCATAAGGGAGATCAAGTAACACCAGGCTGGCAGTTCAGCCTGTGTGGTCTAGGCGAGACACAGGCAGCGGTAGAACATGAGCCCAAAGGATCCCAGCTTGGCCCCCCACTAGCCCAGAACTCTGCTCTGATCTAGAACAATGGCCTCACAGCCCAACCCAAGCCCAGCGGCCAACGTGCAACCCCCGGTCTTCACTCGACAGGGCACAGAACAGAGACAGGGCACAAAAGCGATCATGCGCAGGTCAGTACAGAAGATCGGCCACTTCCTCAGACCAAAACGTGCCAGTAGGCCGCCGTGGTAGTCCTCCCAGTCAAGGGAGCTAAATGCAGACTAGAGGCACTCACAGTGTGTATGTCAGGATCCTATCCTGACAACCATGATATTGTTTTATTTTATTACTGGCCCTTTAAGGGAACTTCGTGATCTTCACCTCTAGTGGCCTCCCTAGCCACTAATCTCTTCACTCATTTTAACATCCTCACCTGTATTAACTAATGAGGAGGCTTCATAAGTCTACACTCTGCACACAACAGGGCCTTGACATTGAAGCCAGTGTTCTGACATAGAACTTCTGATCCTGGCTCCTGAAAACATCCTGTATTTATCTGCATCATTTTAATCTGAAGAGACTTACCTGCTTGATCTACCATATTGAAGATCCTTAACTGCTTCAACTGCTGCAACACTGCATGATCCTGTAAGCAACCTGTATTACTTTATACTGGAATCTACTTACCTGTCAACTACTGAAACTCTCCATAATCCATTTAAGCAACCTGAACTATATTATACTGAAACTATTTACCAGCTTTAACTATTTTAACCCTGTATCATCCTGAACCTAACTGCAGTGTGACATTCCACAAATTTACTAATCTACTTGGGAATAACGTCAAACCTACTTGTATATCAAATACTTTACTTCATTTACTTTCAAGATATCCTGTTTGTGGCAGATTGCCTTAATTCTTTATTTTAAGTAAATTGTTATGTCTAAAAAGACAAAGTTTCAACCAATAACCCTGGCAATCGTCTCCTTTCTGACCTGCTGAGGAACATGACAGTGTGCTACAGCTTACCCTTCATATAGAACTGGTATTACAGACTAAAATAACTCAAGATGATGGTTAAATGGCTTAAAATCAGGTTTCCACAGACGAGTGCCCGCAACACGTATCCATCTCGTTCGGCAATCAGGGCCCACCCCAATTTCTTTTTTTTTTCCCTTTGGTTGTATATATCTGGAATATATATTGGAAATAGCAGTAATTCTATTGTTAGGGTTCTATTATTTGTGGTGCTTTTTTGCATGTACATTGAGGAAGGTGTAGCTGGCTCATACATTGATCCAAGATGAAGAGTGGACTTGAGTGCTTGAGATTTCAATTTTGTTTTTCTAAAATGACTTGGACATTTTTAAAATGAAACTATAAGGGCCATACCAGTAGAGCCTGATATGGCACAAACCTATGGAGAGGGGAGCGGGGAGGATCAGAATCCATAGGATTCTTCTATAACAATAGGTACAATATGCTGCAGTAGTATTATGGTGGTTGGCATTTCCCTTTAAGACACTCTAGCCGAAATGTCATCTCTTTATTGGAAATATATATATTTATATTATGAGAACTTAAAAACATAAAAAGCACATTTTCTCATTGTAAAAGATTGTTTTTGAAGTGAATTCCAAGCCAATATATCTTATTAAACAGAACGAAAGAAAAATATCAGAATGCAGCAATAGAAAATGGTAAAATTTGAAGTGACTTGTTTGAGAATCAGAGAATGACAGGAAATATGCATGATGCCAACCAGAGATAGAAACAGCCTTCTAATGAAATATTGAAGGAAAACTAAGGGAATTAAATAATTCTGAATGAGTGGGATGTGTATCTGACTATCCTTAAAAACAAATCGGTAAATTAAACAAAACTAGTATGCAGCATCAGAATAGCAGATGCAATGGGCCAGTTGGTTCTCATCAACTGTCATGAAGAACATAGAAAGCCAGTGCTTGTAGAAAATCACCCATATCATAGTGTCCCTCTTTCTCTGAGTTCATGGATTGTGCAGTAAGAAGTTAAAACGTTTATAAACACATTAAACATGCTAATAGTTTGTAACAGTTGGGATTGCTAATCGGATAAAAATTGGCTTGAAGACAGTGGTCAAAGAGTTGAGGTAAAAGTGTAGTCTGGAGAAAAGATTAGGAGTGATAGTTTTGGGGACAGTTTTCGTTATTATATTCTTTAGTAACATTGCAAATACTTGAAAATCATAGTATAACTTTTCATATATGATTCCACATGGCTGACGTTTCTTTGATTGTTAATAAAATTAATGGGCATTTTAGTTGAGTGAATTTTCAGCTCTGTGTAATCTAAAAAGAATAAATGATGCAGGAAATGAGTAAATAAAATAAGAAATATTCTACAAGAGATGGTTAAAATGGGTGTCCCAGACAAATCTGCAACTGAAGTACATTAATCTTCTTAGGGTACCACTGGAGAGGGCTAGCAATTCATCTGACCTTTGTCTCCCAGACAGACATAAGAGAGGATAAATCACAAACATGAAGCAGTGGCAGGGTATATGTCAACTTTGTACTTAGTTCACTTGATTTGTGTGATCATACTACCAAAATTGAATGTACGGAAAAACTGAATATTGAGGTTTACGCAGGATAGCTGGAAAAAAGTGACAGTTCAATTTTGGATATACGGAAACTGTAATTAGTACCAAGAAAATGAAGTGGCTCTCTACAGTTTATCGATCATTCATAAAATTTCATGTAAAATACTGTGTATAACTCTGAAGCTTTTATTGCCAGAAGGACATCAAATAATAATAATAATATAAAGACAGAAAGATGAAAATCCCTATCATATCACTTGGCCAAGATAACATTTTGGGGCTGACACAATACAACCCTATACAAAGAGCACAAAATAATGTATTGTAAAAGGGACAGAAGAAAAATAGGAAAACATCAGGAAAAAAAAGTAGATGCATAGAAGAGCCTTAAAGCACATGAAGGGTTAAATAGCTTAAATAAGCATTGGATAGACACAATACTGCATTAAGCAAGAAGCAGAAGAAAAAATAAATCATGTCTATTTAGATTAGTTAATGAGCATGCTTGCTGTTCTCAGCTATGAACATCTATGTCTCTATGTGTAAATGCGTTGCAATCGGTGTGGCTTTAAATAATAATGTCTTGTATGAAAAGTGTGCCCTGTGCAGACTAAGAAAAGCAATTAGTATCTCCACATACCTATCCTTTGATTCTTGGTTGGTAAAAGGCAACAAATCACAGGCAAATAGGGAAATCTATAACACAAAATACTATAATGCCCACAGTTTGCCCCAGGAGCAAGCCATGTTATTTTGGAGGAACGTGTGCTGGTGGATATGTCTGTCCCAGCTGCCTTCTAAAGTCAGCTAGCATTAGATTTACAGATTTATTTAGAAGTTCTGAAGGAATGGTGGATGTTCATTGTCAGTGAGTCGCTTTGCTTGACACATTGCTATATTTGAGCTGTGTAATGAAACTTCCCTACGTGTAATTAATCCTGTCCGGTAAATATTTTGTGCTTGCATCCACCATAATGCATATAGATATGGAACAAGATTTGTATGTTGATTAAAAGGTACAGTGGATTTAAAGTGGTTCGAGCAATGCCTGTCTATTTTAATTTAGCTTATTTAGAGAGCAGAGAGCAGGCAAATGCATCAGTATTTAGTCAGAGTGAAATGACAATTACTAGATCTGAATCAATAATAAAAAAAAAAGTTTCTATGTTGCATACTCACCTTTATTTAAGCCCCCCGTCTCCCCCTCCCCCCCACCCCATGCTGTTTACTCAAAGGTTAGAGAATCATCCTTTTTGTTCCATTAAAAGAATTTGGGGGGAGGGGGATTTTGTCACTAATAATGAATTAGCAGGGCTGGCCAGAATGTATTCTCCTCTCCGAGTTGGCAACATATCATAGGGGTGTTAGTTGTACAATAGCGGGAACACCCCAGTATATTGTTAATTTTTTTTTTACATTTTCTAGGTCACTCTAAAACACAAAATGCTACCCACAGCTTTATTGATACCTATTCCTTTATAATGGAGAGAACTGGAATTTGAAGTGTCCAGTTTTAGTGACGTGATATCATTATTTAAGTCTTTCTAATGTCACCAGTGCAAATGCAGAGAAATAAATTCAATATACCATTTATAAACAAAGGCTTGCTCCTATAAAAAGTCTTCCCATATGGCATATAGCTTCTGACACATTAATTCTGGGCCCCAATAAAGGGTCAACAGTATAGTAGATAGGGATAGGCAACCTTTGGCACTCCAGATGTTGTGGACTACATCCCCCATAATGCTCTTACACCCATAATGCTGGCAAAGCATCATGGGAGGTGTAGTCCAAAACATCCAGAGTGCCATAGGTTGCCTATGCCTGATTATTGATATAAAACAGTATTGTGTGTTGTTGTAGAGATTAATTATGACAATTAATTGTGCTACTACACTGAAAATCCATTGGGTTGAAACTGTGGTATGTAATGTATAAATTGCAGCTTAGAGTAATATACAATAAGCAATTTCCTAAATGCCCTATGTGGAATCTGGTAATCCTTTGAGCCCAAGAGGTATGAGATAATTGTAACATGTCAGTTGAGATTGATGTTAATTTTTACATCCAGACATACAGAATTACCGTGTTCAGGGGCAGAATCTGTGCTCAGACCAACTGTGCCTTGTAAGCTACCAAACTCACAAGATCATAGGTGTGCTGTGCTCAGTATATAACATTAGGGTTTGCACCTAGAGAAAAGTACCATAATAACTTCACCTCAAACCATTTTATAAACGTAATAAATATAACATGCTAACCCAAACTCAGTGAAGAGCATCCTAAAAAAAGACCTAAACAGGGTAAGGGAGATACTTGCCCTCAATAAGGTGTGCCTAGACACACCTGCCATGGTACGTTTCTAGCCTTTAGAATGGAAAAGAATCGGCACTATACTCAGCCTCGACAGCCCGAGTGGTAAACGGGGGATTCATATCTAAACCGTTTTCTATTTCAAACGGCACTAGACAAGGCTGCCCACTTTCCCCCCTACTCTACATACTAGCATTAGAACCTCTAAATCAACTAATCAGGGACAACCCAAACATCCATGGAGTCATGCTCAAGGGACGGGAATACAAGCTATCCCTGTTTGCAGATGATATCCTTCTCCCTTTAGAACAACCCCACATATCCCTCCCGAATTTCCACCACCTTCTCACTCAGTACAGCCGCTGTTCCTATTATAAGCTAAATATAGCAATAACGCTAGCCGTAGGAATCAACGTTCCAGCCCAAGATATGATGCAACTAAAAGCCAACTACACATACGATTGGAGACAAGACCATATAAAATTCTTAGGAGTAAACTTTACCCCCACGCCAGACTCACTATTCAAGGCGAATTACCTCAAACTACTTGGCGAAGTCAAAACACTTCTACAAAGTTGGAAGGGGAAATTCATTTCCTGGGCAAGCAGAATAGCAGCTGTAAAAATGGTAGCCCTACCTAAAATCCAATACCTATTCAGAACACTACCAATACAACTCCCGCACAAATACATTCGGGACCTACAGAACGTTATCAATGACTACATCTGGGAGAACAAAAAGCCCCGGGTTGCAAAAACTACAATGCACAAAACATTCGCCAAAGGAGGGATGGGCCTACCGGACATTCTGGGATACTACAAAGCAGCCCACATAGCTCCCCGACTAGCGGCATCACACCGACGTGAACCCCTGGCGTGGACCGAAATAGAAAAGAATTACGCAAATGGTCTCTCCATCTCAGCGCTAGCCTGGCTGCCAAGACCTCAAAGACCTAAAATCACCGAAATGTTACCCACAACCAGGCTCACCATCTCAATATGGGACAATTACCGGAAACGTCTGGGCGATACAGCCCTGTGTTCCCCCGCCCTCCCACTAGAATCAATTAAAATCCTTATACCGGATTTCAATTACAAACTGTGGCACAGACATGGCATAAAAACGCTGTCACAACTACTAAATGGCTCTCACTTGAAATCATTCTCGGATCTCCAAACAGAATACAAATTACTTAACACAGCACTGTTCCCATACAGACAGCTGCAGTCCTGGTATGCCCTACAACATAAACAAAAGCTTACTGATGGAAAAGACGCAAGCTGGCAAACTATAGAACAAATCTGCACAGCAACCAAACAAACCAAAAAACTAATCTCCATAATCTACACATCAGAGGGCCTTAGACCCCAGCAGCGCCCCCCATCCTACATAACAGCCTGGGGAAAAGACATTGGATACCAGATCACCAAGGAACAATGGCACGCTATCTTCAAGGCACACAAACAGCTCACCCTCTGCACGACCCACTTGGAACTGACTCGCAAAATCCTATACTGATGGTATCTGGTCCCCACACGCCTTAAACATAGCTTCCCTGCCATGTCAGATGTGTGCTGGAGATGCCAAAAAGACAGAGGCACCATTTTGCATATATGCTGGCAATGCAAAGAAATCCAACAATTCTGGCAACAGATTGCAAACCTAATCGCCAAATGCACGGGCTCCAAGCTACCACTAAAACCAGAAACATACCTACTTCTCTCACTGCCACAGACACCACACAAACATCAGAGATACCTCATCTACCACATCATCGTAGCAGCTCTAACCAGTATGAGTAGGAACTGGAAACAAACTACTTCCCCCACGATCACCCAATGCACCATACTCATAGACAGCAACAAATCATATGAAATCATGGCCAGGAACACACAACAAAACCCCCCATACTGGCTCCAAGCGTGGGAAATGTGGGACAAACACAAATCAACCCCATGAAGAACATAGGCACACTTCGCAACATAGACCTACACCTCTCCGAGTAGAGGTCACGCAACGTCCCACCCGCTTCCCCCCCCACCCACCCTAGAGACACGATCCAACCAGCTGGCTATACACAACAACAGAACCATTACCAAGCCTGCCGCTGTCGCCTCACCGGTCCCCCCCCTTCCCGGTGCCCTCTCCCCTCTACTCACCATGCCACGGCCCAACGAATAAACCACCACACACCACTGATCCGACCATATGAGGCCAACAACTCCCCCCACAGAACCACATATGGGAAGAACAGAGACATACCAACACCCATAAAAAAGCCACCACTGCAACAAACACAAGTACCACACAACAGGCACAAGAGGAAGAGTTGACTGCTCTCACCTGTAAACACCTTCTCTTACAATTACCCCTTATTCATACTGGTGATGGATAAAGTGGTGACCTGTCAGTTATACCAATACAGGGCTTCCTTTCCCACCCCCCCTCCCCCTGCTTTTTCTTCTGTACCCCTTCCTGGAACACAAGAATGTTGGAATTGAAAGACTGTATCCCTTCTCCCCCCCCCCTTTTTTTTTCTTCTGTACCCCCACGATAAGCTGAAAACCAATAAAAATTGTCAAATTCAAAAAAAGAATGGAAAAGAATCCTTGGGAGCTTCTGTTTGCCCACCCCCACCTTAGGCAGTTGCACAGATCATTCATTCGCAGTTCTCAATTCATCTTTCAAGGACAACAAATGTTCAGGTTTTAACAACATACCTATTGACACAGAATTGATTAATCTAGACAGCTAATAGTCTTTAACAATTGGTTTGAGACTTATTGACCTGGGCAAACTAGTAGTTAATTCTCCTTTATAATGTAGAAAGAGGGCAAATTGGTAAATCTGTAGCAATCTCCATGGCAACAATGGAATGTACCTGTGCATTGCTGCACTTTTAGAACCATGTTCTAAAATTACTCTTTATACAATGACTTCAAAGTGATGCTAATTTTCAGAATTTACATTAAGAGCTTCTTTACAATCCCATCATACACTGTGTGGGAACTGCACCAGTTTTGGTGAAATGTGACACGTTCCTTTACAAAGCCTGAAACAGAATGAATGACTAGGTCGATCTATAAGTAGCCAGAAACTGGTATAGCTTGTTTTCTTATTTCATCCGTTAACGATTTTAATTGCCTGTCAGGTTTAAGGGCACCTTCTAACATACTGTCTGTTTTTCTTTAAATTCTAAGCATATTTCTCTATGACCAAGGATTTCAGTTTGCTGTCATTTGAGCAGTAACATTCATCAGAATTAATTAAATATAGCCCACTGCTGTATCTCTGAATGACTCAAATGACCTTTTCAATCATTTTGGGGACATGCAAGTCTGCATTTACCAATTTATTGCCCATAAATCTAATCCATAGTACTGTTAACTCACCTTTAATTAGACTACTTTTTATGCATTGTTAATTGGGCAATAATGTCTAAATACAAATAGTTCTTTATATGAAATAGAAAAATATGAATGTAATTGAGAAAATTGCCTGATTTGTTTTGCTATTAACAAAATCCCAGTTTAAGTTCTAGTTTTAGAGCAATCGATCAAAGAGTATTCCATTGAGATACAAAGCAATAATAAGACACATTTTCATTGAAACCTCTATTCTGATTTGATCCAAGTACATTTATCAATAATATTCATGTCTAACTTCCAGTCAGATGGGAATAAAATAATTGCATTTTCCGGCGTACTATAAAATGTAGACTTCCTCCAGCGATAAAAATAAAACTAGGCATATTTCATATTTACCACATCCACATACATATTTATACTTCTATTAATAAACTTGTTTGTATAATGTGACTTTATATTACTGCCTATGTTAAAAGGAAATATTAAAAGTGTAGAGCACCCTGAGGTTGTGCATGGCCTTTAGCCCATATATAATTCATACTGCATTCCGTTGTTTTGTTTTTTTCTTTAACGATGATGTGACGTACATTGTGACAATCAAGCATACATTGTGCTATTTTGTGCTATAGAGGGGTTATTTATAAACAGCATTTCTAGGTCAAGGTTCTAAATACTGACCAGACAAAATTAGTCTCTCTGGTTTCCATGGTGACAGCTCCACTTTTAGAACTTTGGCCAGAAATTGTTTTTATAAATCATGAATAGGTTCTTACAGTAGCAAGCATTTTAATACTTTAAAATAAACATTTATGCGGGGGTAGAGGGGGTCAGCAAGATGTATAGCATTCCCTTTCACCGATTTATTTGCTTATATTTTATAAATAGTTGTGCTGACTCCTGTAATATCTACACGTATGCTTATCTATAACCAGCAATTGCAATGCATCTATTGCACACAGATTATAGTACTGGATTGTATTTACTTCCCTATGCGTAACACATCTGGATTTGTCCTTTTATATAACCAATATCTGTACTTAAACCTTAATATTTCTATTGCTTGACAGGCACATAGCCATGCAATATCAACTGATAAAAAAAATATATATATTGGCAGTAGAAGGGCTCATATTGAAATACTCGGTGACTTTATGCCAAGGTTACATGATGCTACCTTTCTAACAAGGGAATGTACTAGATATTTTCCATGCTAGAGCTGTCAACATACGTGCAGATATTGTGAACTGGAAACGTTTAAAAGCAACAGCTCAGCCATGTTTTGGACACACAAGCTCATGGAATTAGATGCTAAAACTAGTTATCCTCATTTGCTGCTCTCTTTGCTATGCTCCTCACTATCTTTGGAATCAAAATCAATTAAAGAGTTGTTCATGAGACACTTTGCGAAATGGATTTCCATGGCTAGACATACAGACATGCCAATGGTCACAATACCCAGTGCCATGTGTCCCATACATAGTTACATAGTTACATAGTTACATAGCTGAAAAGAGACTTGCGTCCATCAAGTTCAGCCTACCTCACATTTGTTTTTTGCTGTTGATCCAAAAGAAGGCAAAAAACCCCAAATTTTGCAACAAGCTAGGAAAAAAATTCCTTCTTGACCCCAGAATGGCAGTCAGATTTATCCTTGGATCAAGCAGTTATTACCCTACATTGAAAGATTATATCCTTGAATATTCTGTTCTTGCAAGTATGCATCTAGTAGCCGTTTGAACATCTGTATGGACTCTGATAAAACCACTTCCTCAGGCAGAGAATTCCACATCCTGATTGTTCTTACAGTAAAAAACCTTTCCTTTGCCTTAGACGAAATCTTCTTTCTTCCAGTCTAAACGCATGGCCTCGTGTCCTATGTAAAGTCCGGTTTGTGAATAGATTTCCACACAATGGTTTGTATTGGCCCCGAATATATTTGTATAATGTTATCATATCCCCTCTCAGGCGACGTTTTTCTAAACTAAATAGGTTTAAATTTGTTAACCTTTCTTCATAGCCGATATGTTCCATTCCTTTTATTAATTTTGTAGCCCGCCTCTGCACTTTTTCTAGTGCCATAATATCCTTCTTTAGAACAGGTGCCCAAAATTGCACAGCATATTCAATATGGGGTCTTACCAGTGATTTATAAAGAGGCAAAATTATATTCTTGTCCCGAGAATGAATGCCCTTTTTCATGCATGACAATACCTTACTGGCCTTGGCCACTGCTGATTGACATTGCACATTGTTGCATAGTTTGTTGTCTATAACAATTCCCAAGTCCTTTTCATGTGTTGTTATCCCTAATTCGCTTCCATTAAGGGTATACGTTGCTTGTGTATTCTTTACGCCGAAGTGCATAACTTTGCATTTTTCAACATTAAATTTCATCTGCCATTTGAGTGCCCAGTCCCCCAGTCTATCTAAATCCCTCTGCAGCAAAGTAATATCTTGCTCACATTGTATTGTTTTACAAAGTTTGTGTCATCTGCAAACACTGAAACATGACTTTCAATGCGGTCTTCAAGATCATTTATAAACATGTTAAATAGAAGGGGTCCCAGAACAGACCCCTGAGGGACACCACTTGCCACCTCTGTCCAGCTTGAAAATTTACCATTAATGACAACTCTTTGTACTCTGTTTTTAAGCCAATGTTCTACCCAAGAACAAGCATTTTCATCTAGACCGATTTCCTTGAGTTTGAACACTAATCTATTGTGTGGAACTGTATCAAATGCCTTGGCAAAATCCAAATAGATCACATCCACGGCAACACCCTGATCTATACTTCTACTTACTTCTTCGTAGAACGCAATCAAGTTAGTTTGACATGACCTGTGCTTCATAAAACCGTGCTGATTTTTGCTGATAACCATGTTCTTCTCAAGGAATTCTTGAATATTATCCCTTAATAACCTTTCAAATATTTTACCAGCCACAGAAGTTAAGCTCACAGGTCTATAATTTCCAGGCAAGGATTTTGAACCCTTTTTGAATATAGGAACCACATCTGCCTTCCTCCAATCCTCCGGAACACTTCCTGAAAGAAAAGAATCTTGAAAGATTAAAAACAGAGGTTCACTTATTTCTGCACTTAGTTCCTTAAGTACACGTGGATGGATACCGTCAGGCCCTGGAGCTTTGTTTATATTAACTTTCTTTAGTTGCTGCAGCACCTTGTCTTGAGTTAACCAATTACAATTATTCTGCAAGTTTTTAGTAGCAATCATTTGCACATCTATTGCCATGGGTTCTTCCTTAATATATACGGAGGAGAAATAGTTATTTAAAATTCCTGCCTTTTCCTGGTCTTCATTAATTAACACCCCCGTTTCAGTTTTTAGTGTACCTACACTTTCATTTTGTTTTGTTTTTTAGAATTTATGTACTTAAAAAATGCTTTGGGGTTGGTTTTGCTCTCTTCAGCTATCATTATTTCATTTTGAAGTTTAGCAAGTCTAATTGCCTTTTTGCACGCATTATTTGCATCCTTATATCTTTTATAAGATGCATCTGATTTGTCCGATTTAAATGCCCTTCTCTTAGTTGTAATCTCTTGTTTTACTTCTCTACTAAGCCACATTGGTTTTAATTTGTTTCTTTTATATTTATATCCCAATGGTACATACTGAGAAATGTACCTTTGTAATATTTGTTGGAAGATGATCCATTTATCCTCAGTGTTCTTTTCACTAAAGAGTTTATGCCAGTCAATATATTGTAAAGCTTCCCTTAACTTATTGAAATTGGCCTTTTTAAAATTATATGTTTTAGTATTCCCCATGTGCTTTTGTTTTTTTGAGTTTATTTCAAAGGACACTATATTGTGATCACTATTTCCCAAGTGCTCACCTACTTGAATGTTGGTCAAAAGATCAACGTTGTTTGTTAAAACCAGGTCCAGACAAGCATCCATTCTAGTTGGTGCAAACTAGTTGGTGCCTGTATCCCATACCCTCTCTCTCTCTTCTCCCTGTATCAGATACCCTCTCTCTCTCCCCCTTCCCCTCCTGTACCTTACTGGCCGTGGTTCCAGGTCTGACAGGAAGTGCTCTCACAGTAAGCATTTCCTGTCAGACTGCTCGGCCACACTACACACAGGCAGGAGGGGAGCAGCACAGTGCAGCTCTCCCTTCCTTCCAGACCTCTGGGAACCGCGGACCCAGGCCGGTGGGACTGTGCACCAGCCCATAAGGTATCCAGGCGGCCCACGGTTGCAGGGGTCATGGCTCCAGTCGGGCCCCTGGAGTGAGTGAGGGGTCCGGTCGTGGTAGGAATGCCAGTGTTCAAGACTGTAATTAAAGAATGAGAAGTTTGATGACCATAGTATATCTCAAAATTACATCAATCTGGATTGCATCTGATTGACTTGGCCACTGTGACTAGGATTCTGTTTGAACTCCCAGATATTTACTTTAACTTTATCCAGCAGCAACGTTTTGACCCAAAAGTCTTTTTCAAGATGCTTAGATAGGCATTTTTTTTTAACTAGTGTCCAGCAGCAACGTTTCGACCCAGAGAGTTTTTTTTCAAGCTGCTTAGATAGGACTTTTTATTTGAACTAGAGTTTCCAGCAGCAAAGGTTCGACCCATAGGTCTTTTTTGTGCTTGAAAAAGACCTTTGGGTCGAAACGTTGCTGCTGTACACTCTAATTCAAATACAAAAACGCCTATCTAAGCCTTGGAGTGCCTGGACCTTTCCCTTTCTCTGGTGACCACTAACTACTTCTTGAGCCTTGGTGCTGGCCCCAGGTTTCAATGCACCCAAGCGTTTATTAATGGATTGAGTGCAGTTCCATTTTCTTGGTTTCTAGTACATTCACTTTATCTTTGACACATGCCTTGCTTGATTAAAATCCATGTTATCTTTGCATTTCTGATTTTGTGGACTATTTCCATCTCTTCTCCCAGATTAGGCCTTTGCATGTCTATAAACATGGAATTTTCATTATTCTAGTGAATGCCTTGTGTGGCTTTACATCTGTTAGAGATGATGAACTGGGATTGACTTTCAATAGATATTATTGCAAACAGCATAGTTTATTTATATATGGATATATTTATCTAAAATTACATTGACATCACAGTGAAAATCTGTAGTTCAGATGACAGCCCTGATGGATTTACAAGTGTTTATTTCCCATTGTTGGTGGGCTGTCATGTTGGCCTGAACAAGGACAAAGACATATCACGGGAAAATGTCAATGATAAAATTTTAACCCTTTTCAAGAAGAGAGTTCATTGCTGGTGAAAAGGTTTAACAATCCCAGACACAATGTTTTCTGTGAAATCAGTAGATTAGGTGCTGTTCTGAGCCGACATCAGTGTCATGAATTCTGTGTCCGCCTCCAGCTGATCTGTCCCACATCATGTCATTGAAAAGCTCCAAGGCTCATGGGGGGGAAGGGGGAACAAGCTCCAAATTAGCTGGATTCTCTGAGCTCATCAGAGACTAGTTTCTGCTGCAGTTTATCTGCTGTAATCAGAGGATCTATCAGGGAAACAATCTGCGGCTCAAATGGTCTAATCTGAGGGACATTGCTCTCTGCCCCTAAGGCTCAGAGACACTCACTCTGCGGGATGCCTCGATGCATGCTGCCCTCTCACTCTCTCCCCACGGGAAAGCTGGTCCTCTGCTCTTTTCTGAGTATTATGGGCAATTGCGTGAAGTCACCTCTTCGTAACCTCTCGCAGAAGGTATGTCACCCAACCACAGATGATACAAATGACCATAAGCCAGAGTGAAATAGTGGGAGTTAAAGGAGAGCTCTAGAAGCATTGTGCTGATAAACCCTTTACTGGAGATCAGCTACAATAGTCATCTGTCACCCCACACAGTAACATATTCAGGGTCTTACTCAGTAAACAGTCAGATGCAATGAGTTAACAACCAAACTGCATAATGTAATCCAAATTATCCAGTAAATAAACCACAATTTAAAAAAAAAGAAATAGACGCATTTACTGTCTTTCTCCAAAATGCCTCATATTTGCTATGTGCATACATATGGGTTATATGGGCAGTTATTGATATTATTATATATTCGTTAAACTTACGTTTCATGAATATTTACTTCTTTAAGCTGTAATGCTATGCTAGGCTTGTGGTATGGCCTATGAACTTGAAAGTACAATCTCAAGGGACTGAAAGAGACAGCAAGTGGAATGATGTCTTATAAAGGCGTGGGAATGTAGTGGGGTCCGAGAGAACCATACTAAAAACAGCTCCTTATATAGAGAGAGGAAGAAAGAGGAAGGGAGGGAGAAAGAGTGGCTGGGAAAATAGATGGAAAAATAGATCTGTAAAGACTTTACAGTGTGGCTGTAACAAACAAAGGACAGGAATTAACAATGAACTAAGACACCGACAGAGAACAGAGAGATATTCATGGTAACAGAACCAGGAAAAGCAGTATAATACTTTAAATTTGGGGGGTTGGAGAGATGATAAAGCATTGAATTCTTTGTGCACTTAGAAAAGTTATGTAAGTCATATATTCCTCCACCCACCATACAATTCACCCCCCCCCCCCAGTACTGTCCCAATAACAATCTGTGTGTTATAAGATGCACCAAGACGAGCGGAGCTGTCTCAGACCGGCACAGTCAGGGGAAGAGGGTGCTCAGGGACCCCTTATGCTTTTGGCTCAAAACTGCGCAGTGATGCACAACCTTCTGGGCCCAGCCTGTATTTTTCTGCGCAAAGGATTCGCTGAGAATCGACAGCCTGTACGTGAGTTCTGACCCCTTTTGTCCTTCCATCCATTTTGTCAACAAAGCCACCTTTCATTTACCTGCTTCTGACCCTACATCATGCAACCTTTCACCCCCCCTCGTGTGATCTCCCTGCTGGCAATTTTTGAAACATTGTCACATGTTGTTGAATGCAATTCCTTTATGTATTTACATATGTGCGCATAGAAGCTGCCTTTTAATAGTGTGCATGCAGTCTACAGCAAAACCAACTCGGTTTAATTGTAGTTGTGCAAATGTGTTGAAGAAAATGGATAAGAAAACCCCTGGTCACTTGTGCAATGTGATATTTAAGGGGTCTGCTTACTGAACTGTGAGATGTAGTAGATTGTAAACAATTTTGCCAAATTTAAACCTAAATAATAATCTGCCAGTAACTGATCGCTAAAGTTTTCTGACATTCGACCAGTAGCATGTGACATCACATTCCAAATGTCACAAACCTTTTTTCTGATAGTAATGCAGCTGACGTTAGAAAGCATTATTAAATTTAAACCAAACTTATACATCTACAGTAATTTCATCATTAATATTTTAAGCTTGTTTAGCCGCTATCATAAGGTTAATGTCACTTATTCTGTGTTTTCGATTGCATCACAGATTTAGACTATGGACAGCCAAGTGCATTGGTGATGCCAATAGGTAATAGGTGTACCGTAAATGACCTAGTATGTTCCATATAGACATTGCAATGTGAGTGTTTCTTTTAGGTACCACTAAACAGACATCTCAGATATTGTACATGCATATTTTTTGTTATCGACAAAGACTTGTTATTTTCAAGTGTCTTTAACTACTGAAATCACTAGTTCCATTAAAGTGTTGATAACTCATTGTGTTAATAACTAATTGTGATTGCCAAAACGTGCAGGCTTATTGTAAGGTTTTTCACCTATCATAATGGTGAACATGATGTAAAAAAAAATATATCGTAAAAGTGGGATCACAATCATTTTAGCGCTGTTAACATATTAATAAGTATTGGACATAAAAATAAGAAACAAATGTCTAGATCACACAATTTTGAAATTCTCATTTATTGTTTAGGCAATACTCCATCCGCGGTGAACAAGTGGAGAGTGAAATTATTATTTTGTGAAGCCTAGTAGCATGAATTCCTGTAAAATAATACATAACTTTTATATATCAAAACCCTCTTCTTCTCATCTTTATTTAGCCTTTTTAAGATAACACAGCAATCCGATCTATCTGCCTCTACGTTGCTTTTTGCATCTGGATATAAAGAAATGCATTGTTACACACCATTTCAGAGAATAGAATCAGTGCAAGCTTGATAGCATGCTGGATTGCACTGAACTTTGTCCTTACCATACATCTGGTGTTGTTGAATTTATCTTTAATCTTACAGATTTATGTTCGGCAGAAAACAGAAGCTTGTGTTTGTATACTAAAACATAGCATTATGTGTGGTAAATAAACTGCTAAACTGGAGAGAATTCATTCTAAATAGGGTGATTCTACCAGTCCCTATAAAGCACCCAGGGTTGTGTTACATGGAATCTATAATATAAATGCCATAGCAGTTAACCCATTAAGAACCAATGTTAGGATGCTATATACCTGCTAATATTTTTTAAAAACAAAAAACGTCAGCGTTGGAAAATGGTCTGTACAGTCCATATTGTGATTATGGCACAAAATGCCATTGGTCCTGAAAGGGTTAAGGAATAATTGTATTAGCTGACGTAGCCATTAATGTTGAGTGCTAAAGGGGTAAGCAGTGTATTGTTCTGGAATGTAGAGGATTGCAGCAGCTGGTCTTAATTAAAATGTAACTCTTATTTAGTTTGTAATGTGCTGTATACACCTCTTAAACATAAAGATGTTTATTGCCCAAGGGGGGCCGGGGGGACGATACAACTGTACCTTTAAAAAGGACGTGAGGGGGAATTTGCCTGGTAACGTATGCATTCGTCAGACTCTTGGCTTTTAAACATTTTAACAAAGCACACAGAGTCTACAGAAGCAGAAACAACTTGCAGAGAAAATGACGCAAAACTGATCGTACTTCCATTATTCTGTGCTTTGATTTAAATAACACTTGGACAGAGCCTACTAGTTTACACGCAGAGCTTTACAGCTAAATGTCCTAATTATAGTAGAAAATAAAGGAAAAAAATCACACAGAGGTGAAAGAAAATCATGAAATACAATATCATCTTAAAATATGACTTGATCAACAACCAGTTTGGACTAATTAGCTTGAACTATCTTCATAAGAAAATGCAATAAATAAGTAGGCCATCCATACATAGCAATATATATAAAATATAGAACATGTTTTACTTCTACATTTCCCCCAAGTGGCACCAATAAAGTGTATATTGCAAGTATAAATATATCACTGTATGTATAAAATATTATACCAAACACATAAATCAAGTTAAAGCACATACATATCGAACCTACAATGTAACTGAAGGTATACTGAGCAGGAGGATGGGGGCCATAAAAGCACTTTATTGGTGCCATTTTGGGACAGGATGTATAAAGAAAATATTTTCTATATTACTTATAAGGTGTGTTTTGGGTTTCTTATTTCTGGTCTATGATTTTTCCTGGTAATAGGATTCTCCCATTTAGCACCCTATAGAGATCTTATATACCCATTACTGTGACCCATATAGTTGAGCGCTCTGATGAATCTGTTTATTATTGTGCATACATAGCTAGCAGGAAAAGTATTCTTGTGCTTTCTGAGCACCCTTGACGCTTTGTTTCCTGCACTCCCATCACTAACCCTAGGCAATGACAAAGGTGGCAGGAGTTACAGTAGTCTTCCCATGCCTTAACACATGGCTTACCAACACCTTCTCCAGATCGCTAGCTCTAAGTAATGACATCAGTGGCAGTAGTTAAAGTAGGCTTTCCATGTACCTACACAGGGCTTAACATTTTCTCCCCATCACTAGCCCCAAGGGTGACAGGAAACATGACATTAAAAGACTCATTATTCTCCTGGCCAGAGATCCAATGTGATGACATTAGTTTAGAAAATCAGCACCTGAGACAGGATATGATAGCATTATACAAATGTATTATGGGCCAATACAAACCATTGTCTTAAAATCTATTCATAAAGGATTATACATAGGACACAATGTCACGCAATTAGACTCGAAGAAAGGAGATTTGGTCTAAGGCAAAGGAAAAGGTTTTTTTACAGTAAGAACAATAAAGATGTGTAATTCTCTGCCTGGAGAGGTAGCTTTATCAGAATCTATACAGATGTTTGAACAGCAATTGGATATATACTTGCAAACATAATATTCAGGAATATAATTTTTAATTAGCTTCTTGATCCAAGGAGAGATCTGACTGCCATTCTAGGGTCAAGAAGGATTTTCCCCCCTTGTTTGTTGCAAAATTGGTAGCGCTTTAAACATTTTTTTTTTCTTTATTTTGGATCAACAGCAAAAACAAATGTGAAAAAGGATGAACTGGATGGACGCATGTCTCTTTCCAGCTATGTATCTATGTACTATGTAGACAAGAAATAGCGGCAGAGGATTGATAATATGTTCTCGGAGAGTGCTATTGGTAGTAGGAAGTCTCAATACAGTGACAGCCTTTCAATTTTTAAATACTGCGTGTAACGGATCACCTGGCACCCCAACTGGGTACCTCCATTGAAGGATGCTCCTTGCACTTCCTGAGGACTCCAAGCACTGCAGCAGACACCAAAACCACCGAACCGTAGGAGCATATGAATGTTGTATACAGCTGAATAGGAAAAAACATGCGAATAGGTTTAGACTCCTAGCAGTCAAACTGGAACAGCATACAATAAATCCTCCCCCAATAATGAGACGACACTTCACTTTGAGGGTTAAGCAGGAACTGACTGGACTGGCACATACAGCCTCTTTTATTCCCAATCCACAAACTTAGTACTGCCCACAGGGTTTTACAGAACAACCAATAACACGTACAATACACTCAGACACTCCCACACAAAATCCTCCCCTCTGCCTGTCATACAATTACCTTACACAATGGGTAATCTAATTATCACAGACAGAGAAATACAGTTTCATAAAACACATCACAGGGACCCCAAAACTTGCAATAACCCCATAAAAATAGTATATCCTTGGAACCGGGGTATCTGGGTGAACCACATTTCCAAAATTCACCCAGATCCATTCAGTACTTTGGAAGATACAGTTTAATGCTGATTCTGCAGAACATATACAGGCTAAATGAAAAACAATCACTGTATAATGTGTCCCCTGCTGTATAGTCCAAAACCACTGCACAATGTCTCTGTGCACCAAATACTGGCGAGATGACACCGTGTTGAAAAGTCCAAACAGTGTCTGTGAGTTAAAATGGCCACCATCCATTGTTCTCACCATGTGCTTCATCCATTGTTCTCACCATGTGCCTCTGATACAGGAAATGGTGGCCACCCAGTAACTGCACAGTATGTCCCCAGATGGTTCTTAAAGGGCCAGCAGCAGCACAACACAAATCCATTATGCCCAAATCATGTCTTTAAAGGGCAATACATCCCAGGGGCCATAGTCACATGGCAGGAGGCTGGCAAGCAGTCTTCTCCAATGCCCAGTAGTGAGGTCGGTTTCGCCACACTGCGCTACCCGCACTTCAGACTGCTTCACTATATGCCTGTCACAAACCTGAGGTGGAGTAGGGCTGGGTGCTGTACTCCTGGCATAGTCCTAGCCCAGGATGGGGGGAGCAAAAGTGAATTGCTCAGTTATAAAAAGATGTGGCAAGCTTATGTTTCATGTGCCCACTAAGAGTTCTCTGCATTCCAGTTTTGTTTGGGCAAATGGGTGCTTAGTCCCAGGAAAAATGGAATCACATGATTGTGTAATATGTGTAACTAGATTGCGTGGATGAGAGTACTACTAATGTCAAGTGGTCTGGGCATTGTTAAAGTCCTCCTTTTTAATTACCCATATGCTATGTGTCACATCCCCCTCACCTCCATACAGCGTGGCCGTATCCGATCGCTGTGGTCACGCTGTTAAAAAAATACCTGAGGCAAGTCAGCCTGCCATCCAGCACCCTCGTGGTGCGATCCCCAGCCGGTGCAGCATTATAATGAATGCAAGCCACTACAGTCCCACAAAGCATTTTAGCCATGCCTCAATACTAAACAAAGATGGCGCCAACGTGCGAGTGACGCCTCGCAAACGACGGGGTCAAAGGCAATGTACAACCAATCATACCCTTAGGAGGTTTATTTAAACTCAAAATAGCATTTGGCTAGTGCCCTGTCGTGGGTTCCACTAGTTGGTTGTCAGAGAGTGCATTGTTCTAGTTCTTTTTGGTATTTGACCTTGGCTTGTATTTTGACTTTCTATTAATCTGGTATCCTTGACCTTTGGCTTGCTTCCTCGTTGTGTCTTTTTCTGTGTCCCTGACCTCAGCTAGTTTTTTGACCATTCTTTATTAAGTTAAGTCCGGCCATTCTAAGGCCTGGTATAAGTTGTCCTTGTTCATTATGTGTTCTATTATATGTTACATAGTTCTGTGTGTTGGGTTATATAGTAATCGTAACACTATGTATTTGTAGCGGATCCTGGAGATACTTACATTCATTTTAGAAAATTAACATATATCCAGACCATATAATGGACAAAAGTCCTATCACCCATGTTGTGTGAGACTCAGGAGAGAGACTGTAACCCCCAAGTTTTCCTTTGTTAATCACCTTGTCACATGAGGGAAGAGGAAGCAGTCCATCCCAGTTCCTTCCTGGCTATTAGGAAGTTGGTGGTGGTACTGGGCACTACAGTATGGGGTTTTTTTTTTTCTTTCTTTCTTTTTTTTAATGTCAGTGTTTCAATCGGAATAAAATTGACAAACACTGTCAATGTGGATGCAAATTGTTTGAATAAATGTCTGAATATGGATTTTTCACCTTTGAGGTTGTTGTGCAAAAGTGTACTTCACTGTTAACCCCTTAAGGACAGTGGACATGCAATGCCGTCCTTGGGGACCCGGCTTTAAATGCCGGCGGGGGGCGGCATAGCACATCTACGCCGTCCTGGCCACTTACCTGCTTGCCAGCGATCCCACGCCGGCTATCCCGTTGGCGGGTACTTACCTGGCATTCCAGGGAGTCCCCATGCTGCCGATCCGGCCCTACTGGGCCATGTGATCGCGAGGTCCTTGCGAGGACCTCATGTTCACATGGACGGAATAGCTGTCCATAGCAGTGCCAGCAGGGGGAGTACCTGTAATGACAGGTAGTCCCCCTGCTGCCTATAGAAAAGTTTAAACACAGTTTAGAATTAAATAATATATTATACTTCGATCATATATATATATATATATACACACACACACATACACTGTCTTAGTGTATTTTTATATATTAATATCAAAATACACATAGAATATATATTTATTATATATAAATTTAATAAATATGTTAAAAATTAAAAAATAAATAATTTTAAAAATCTATATATGTGTAATTTCGTTCTAACTGTATTTTGATATTAATATATATATCTACTGATATCAAAATACATTTAAAACAAAATGATATATATATATATATATATATATATATATATATACACACACACACACAGACCTATATACAAATAAAAATAATTTTAAAAAATTATATACAGTTGCAAGAAAAAGTATATGAACCCTTTGAAATGATATGGATTTCTGCACAAATTGGTCATAAAATGTGATCTGATCATCATCTAAGTCGCAACAATAGACAATCACAGTCTGCTTAAACTAATAACACACAAAGAATGAAATGTTGCCATGATTTTATTGAACACACCATGTAAACATTCACAGTGCAGTTGAAATCCATATCATTCCAAAGGGTTCACATACTTTTTCTTGCAACTGTGTATATATACGTATATAATATATATATATATTTTTATGTATTTATTTATGTAATATTTTTACATAATTAAGTAATTTGAATCATTACAATTTGCGGGACCTGCCTGATAACCCAGGCAGAAGGTCCAGAGAATTTAATTTGCTAGCACTATATTTAACCCTACAACTTTCCAAGACACCATAAAACCTGTACATGACTATTTTACTTGGAAGACTTCGCTGAACACAAATATTAGTGTTTCAAAACAGTAAAATGTATTACAACAATATTATCCATGTAAGTGACGTTTTTTGCATTTTTCACACACACAAACGGCACTTACACTGACGATATAATTGTTGTGGTACGCTTTACGGGTTTGAAACACTACTATTTGTGTTCAGTGAAGTCTCCTGATTATAACAGTACCCCTTGTGTACAGGTTTTATGGTGTTTTCAACAGTTACAGAGTCAAATATAAGGCTTGTGTTTCAGTTTTTTCACATTGAAATTCGCCAGATTGGGGTATGTCCAGTCTTTTTTAGTAGCCACAAACACTGGCCAAAATTGGTGTTCAAATTAGTTTTTTGCATTTTTCACACACAAACAAATATTAACACTAACGTTGGCCAGTGTTTGTTACAAGGTGGCTACTAAAAAAGACTGGTCATACCCCATTTGCAGTACCTTGGGTTGTCTACTATTGCAAATGGTATGCCATCATGGGGGTAATTCTCATTCCTGGGCTACCATACGGTCTCAAAGGCAACGTAACCAATCTGGAGAATTTCAATGTGAAAAAAACTGAAAAATGTAACATGCTATATTTGACCCTGTAACTTCCCAAAACACCAAAGAACCTGTACAGAGGGGTTACTGTTTTACACGTGAGACATCGCGGAATACAAATATGTGTATTTTATTGCAGTAAAAGCATTATGACATTCACAGTTAAAATGTCATGCAGAACTAAATAAATTACAAAATGTCTTAATATCTCAAACTTATTTATATTTTATTCATATTAAATTATGTTTCATAGCTAAATATTTGATGTTAAATGAAAGCCCTGTTTCTCCTGAATAAAATTATATATAATATGTGTGGATGCACTTAATATGAAAGAGGTGAATTATGGTTGACAAGACAGCCAAATTCCAAGTTTTGTTTACGTTTAATTTTGATCAAAACGTGTACATTTTGCTCAGTCCTTAAGAGGTTAAATGTACTTTTCAAACTGTAAATTCTCGTCAAATTCAGCTATTATTAATGAATTTTGCAAGTTGGAGGCACATGTGTAGATAAGTGGAATACTCTCTTACAGCTGCAAAATAAACATTGCATTGAGTGAAAATTCAAATTCTTGCTCAGAAAATAAAAAATGGTGCATTGTTCTAAACTGAAGACCTAATTTACAAAAGCAAACAATGTTTCTTAACCCCTTACTATTCCCATAGTATTTGGTGGAACAGCTACATGAAACCTATCAGGCCCAAGGCAACAGCCCACAATAAACAGTGTAATGATACAGTGCTGCTTTCTTTATGGCCATAATAGAAAATCCTTCCCACCTTAATAAAAAGCAAAGAATATGAGTGCACAGAAATTGCGATCTAAGAGCTGTCACAGACATCCCCTCCCATCCTGCCCTTTTACCTTATGTTGTTGTTACTCTTGTGTGTGATTATTTTAGTTCAACCCACTAATCCTGCTCGCTCTCTGTCTTAAGTACACAATTGTTTTGATCTAATCTTTGTCTCAATATGCCTTGTTTTAGGACAGAGAATTGCGCCCAGAAGAGATAGAAGGTAAATGCTTTAACTGTGGACTACATTGCTTGCCTGATTATTGGAAGTCACAGTGCAGTAATATTATAAAATATATCACTATAACAGACTGGAGCATGAATATGGAGTATCAGGGGCCCCGGAAGCATGAGTTTGTTTGGCCCCATTAACCATCCCTATAATAGAATGAAAGTGTTGGCACTGGTAACCTGCCTCGAGCCATGTGGGGTCTTAATCCTTCTCTGGATATGATATAGGCAGGCCCAGACTCGCTGACAAGTTGAGGCCGACCAGATAGACTAAAGGTTCTCCCCGGCCAGGCATGCAGGGCCGACCCTCAGTGAGTGTGGCCAAAAGAAAGAATGTAGTCCCTTTCATGGTTGGTATGGAGATAAAAGATCTCCCTGAGATCGGGCTGCTCAACCTTTAAATGCCGGGTCAAATCTTTTTCCCAGTCCGTCCCTGGGTACCAGTGTGGACTGATAGTAATGTGAAAAGTGTGTAAAAATACTGTATGTTAACAGTTGGGGTTTGATGTGGCTTGTGATATCTGTCTGCAATAGGGGGTGTCTAATATGTTTAAAGGGAGGGAATATTTTACATAAGAAATATAGAAAAGGTGTCAAGGTGTGAGTTATTATGGAAGTATGTTTTGAATGTTTTGAATGAAATGTTACATGCTCCAGGAGGCATAGTGTAAGTTATTTTGGATAACTTCTGGGTTTTTCTGCAGAGCTCAGAGAAGCATTTAAAGAGTTTGACAAAGATAAGGATGGCTACATAAGTTGCAAAGACCTGGGGGACTGTATGAGGACCATGGGGTACATGCCAACTGAGATGGAGCTTATTGAGTTGTCACAGCAGATCAACATGAACCGTAAGTCCAGCTCCCCATTATAATAGTAATTTCAGGAGAAATCTCCTTGGTAACCATGAATTTAGTAACAATCTTTAAACTTACTTCCTTGTTTTCTAGTTGGAGGCCATGTAGATTTTGATGATTTTGTGGAGTTGATGGGACCCAAGCTTCTTGCTGAGACAGCAGATATGATTGGAGTAAAGGAGCTTCGAGATGCTTTTAAAGAGGTAAACATAAATTCCTGACACCATATGTATTCCGTATCTAGCTAATCAACATTCTTAATGTGACCTCATATCACTCTCTAGACAGAGTCTATTAAATAAATCCTGATCATAGATTGAGAAAGGTCCTGCCACCTAAAATTGTTTAAAAGGCCCAGGCCAGCTGTGATCACATTCATTAGTAAATACTGTGGTGGATATATGTAAGAGAATGTTCTCTGATAGCTCACCTTCCCCTTTGCTGGAAATAAGAAATTTGCAGTATTAATGAAACAGAAAATTATTTTATGTGGATAATTAATGCATGGAAAGTTAGTGCAGCTGTGTTGTTTTTTCACGCTCTGGTAATTAACATCTGACATCATTAAGAATTGCTTGTCCATTTGTTTTAATAAGGTTTTCATAATCATAATTACTGTTGTGTATTGTATTTTCTCTAATATGCCAGTTTGATACTAATGGTGATGGAGAGATCAGTACAAGTGAACTCCGTGAAGCAATGAAAAAGCTCCTCGGACAACAGGTTGGCCACAGGGACATTGAAGATATTATACGTGATGTTGATCTCAATGGTGATGGCCAGGTGGACTTTGAAGGTAAATATAAAGGAGCCTGTGGAATCTAGAAAGTATAATTACATTTTGAGAAAAAAAACAAAAAAAAAACAAACAAGTGCAATAAACATTATTTGGTTGAGCAGAAACCAAGTGGAGACACTTTTTGCTAGAAGCATTATTTCTTGCTGAATTGTAAACTGAAGATCAAATGACAATACAAATGGGATGTTTAGGAGCAAGGCTGTGTTCAAGACTTGGTTGCAGAGATCATGTCAGCATGCTTGTATGCATAGCATTAAACATGTCTTACTTTGTCCACGCATGAAGCATGGAAACCTTTTAGACAGTCTAGGGTGCCCATATAATCAACTGGGATTGAGTAAGGGAATATGCATCATTTCACTCAAAAAAGTTTACACTAGGGAGGGCGGAGCTTAGCGCCTGAGACGAACGGATGCAGTCAACCGTAGTTCCGGATATTTGACTAATAATCAGACAAAATTATCTGCACCCAACTTCACCAGGAGAGGGTGAGCAACAGACCCATGCCTTTCTTGTACCCGAAATCAGGAAAGAAGGCTTGCCGCAAATCCGGGGCCTATTTAGAGTATTCAGCCACAAGGGCCACCACACGGGACCTTGAGGCCGAGATTGCAGAGCTCTATAGCTCCCCTTGGTTGCCTGACAACCCCTCTCATCACATAGACGCCATGGGAAACAGATCCCAAAAACCGCAGCCTAGCTCCAGCAAAGACTTTCATGACATTGGGGCAGTGCTACAACGCCCAGCAGCCTCCAAGATGGCAGCCCAGTCAGACAGCGGAGTGAAGAGGGCAGACTCCCAAGCAGACCCGACTGCATCTGGGGACACAATCTCTCCCACGACACTCGTAGAGGAAATGGCAGAAAAAGACCCGCTAGCCCCAGCAACTAAACAGGATATTGCTAACCTCTTAAAGGAGCTAAGTCAGATGTCAGCGACGGACCTGGATGCAGTCCACACCGAAGTGCAGACAGTGTCAGCACGTACACAAGCTACAGAGGAAGAAGTCCTGGAGCTCAAGCGAGAGGTACAAGGGCTGAAAGACCAAATGCAGAGCCTACATAGACTTCCCTGACACAGAGGGTAGATATCACTGTCACGTATTCATCCACACATAAAAATGTGGTTAATGGCATTTACTGTCCTGACAGAAAAAGTTGTGCCGAGCAACATTACCTTCCTGACAGGAAAAGTTGTGCCGAGCAGCAATCATGCACATGGAAACCTGGTAATTAGTTTTGGGGTCAAAGGTCGGTCATGGCCAATCAAATCCACAGGAGGGTTTGGGCTGAGCAGCAATCATGCACATAGAAACCTGGTAATTGCCTTTGGTGTCAAAGGCCGGTTACAGCCTATCGGATCCACAAGAGGGGTATTTAAACCCAATTCTCCTCTTGCTCATTGCCCTGTCGTGGTTTCATGCCTATGGTTATCCGAGAGTGCGTTCCTGATCTTGATTTTCTGGTATTTGACTTTGGCTTTGTTTTGACTTCCCTGATATCTGGTATCCTTGACTTTTGGCTTTCCCTCATCTTTGTGTCTGATTCTGTGTCCCTGACCTCGGCAAGTATTTTGACTATTCTTGGAGATTCTAAGGTCCAGTTATATGTTATCCTTAGTCCTATGTGTGACACAGTACTGCGTGCTGGATCAACTTTTAATTCTGACACACTGAAGATCACAATAGACGAGCCAAATATTAAAATCCAAAGCATCCGGGACTCGTTAGGTCAGGCCAAACTACCACACTACTTAAGGCGTCTGACAGAAACACTCCTACCTCACTCTCAGGCTAAAAAGCTCCAGTTTAACGGCTGCTACAGGATCAATAAATCCAGACAGCCTCTGTCCGATGCCACCTATGACATTTGTACACAGTCATTCATTGTCGTACAAGAACCGCATTTTAGCAGCAGTAAAAGGCAAAACCCCATTGGACTTTGAGGCTTCCAAGCTGACATTTTTTCAAGATCTCACCAGGAATATCCTACAATGTTGAAAGTCCCTTGGCACAGTCACGGGTCAATTAAGAGAAGCTGGAGTGGAATACCGCTGGACTCTATCAAGATCCCTTAAAGCTACTACAGCGGATGGCAGATTGCGGAGAATCACCTCCATAACAGATGCTGCATCATTCCTTCAAACAGTGGGACTAAGCCCACATCCAGACGAGCCTAATACCTCCTCCAATACCCAGTCCTGGGATCCAGCCCGAACGAAGCCGTTCATACCTGGAAGGGCAGAGAAGCCGGGTGCAGCGACCTGAATCACCCTCTCTGTCTTACGCTGTATTCTTTAATTATATTTTTGTTCAGTATTATAACCGTTAATTTAATATTTGCTCTCATGCCTTAACACAACGTTAAGTAACTTCATGCCTAACTAGGCCTAGTCTATTCACACAGTTCTGCCCCAAGACAGGTCATCACAGCTACGATAGTACCCAGACCCATGAGAAGGTTCACTAATCCCCCCTCCATGTCCCCCTTGGTTAGGGGTCATTCATCTACCAGTTACAAACAACAGGTACCCAACATGCCAACAGAGGTGTCATTTAAAGTAACACCCGACTTGCCTACATGAGAATAGAACACACTATCAGTACATGGTGGCCCGGTGTCAGAATAGCCCGTTACAGTCAATTGATCATCCTACCACCCACCTACGAAGTACCCACACCTAACACGGCTAACAGATATGAATCATAACGCACAGCTCCAACTGATATACACACAGAAAAAAAAAGTAAAAGAGGCATGCTAATGTTGACTGCTTAAAATTGTCAATGTTACACATTTGTGTTTTTTTTCTCAAGTTATTCTGTGAACTCTAAATGCCTGTAAACTTGTCTCAATAAAACAAAGATTGACAAAAAAATGTATACACTATTCTGAAAAGAATGGAAAGTAATCATCATTTTGCATTGGTTTTGTTTTTTCTATAAGAAAATCAATACATTAGAACAGTGTACACAGGGCCGAACTGGGGATACAAAGCAGCCCTGGGAAAAAAAAAATCTATGCCAGCCCCATAAGTCATCGTGCTATGTAGTGTGTGTGTGTGTGTGTGTGTGTGTGTGTGTGTGTTTTTATATATATATATACAGGGAGTGCAGAATTATTAGGCAAATGAGTATTTTGACCACATCATCCTCTTTATGCATGTTGTCTTACTCCAAACTGTATAGGCTCGAAAGCCTACTACCAATTAAGCATATTAGGTGATGTGCATCTCTGTAATGAGAAGGGGTGTGGTCTAGTGACATCAACACCCTATATCAGGTGTGCATAGTTATTAGGCAACTTCCTTTCCTTTGGCAAAATGGGTCAAAAGAAGGACTTGACAGGCTCAGAAAAGTCAAAAATAGTGAGATATCTTGCAGAGGGATGCAGCACTCTTAAAATTGCAAAGCTTCTGAAGCGTGATCATCGAACAATCAAGCGTTTCATTCAAAATAGTCAACAGGGTCGCAAGAAGCGTGTGGAAAAACCAAGGCGCAAAATAACTGCCCATGAACTGAGAAAAGTCAAGCGTGCAGCTGCCACGATGCCACTTGCCACCAGTTTGGCCATATTTCAGAGCTGCAACATCACTGGAGTGCCCAAAAGCACAAGGTGTGCAATACTCAGAGACATGGCCAAGGTAAGAAAGGCTGAAAGACGACCACCACTGAACAAGACACACAAGCTGAAACGTCAAGACTGGGCCAAGAAATATCTCAAGACTGATTTTTCTAAGGTTTTATGGACTGATGAAATGAGAGTGAGTCTTGATGGGCCAGATGGATGGGCCCGTGGCTGGATTGGTAAAGGGCAGAGAGCTCCAGTCCGACTCAGACGCCAGCAAGGTGGAGGTGGAGTACTGGTTTGGGCTGGTATCATCAAAGATGAGCTTGTGGGGCCTTTTCGGGTTGAGGATGGAGTCAAGCTCAACTCCCAGTCCTACTGCCAGTTCCTGGAAGACACCTTCTTCAAGCAGTGGTACAGGAAGAAGTCTGCATCCTTCAAGAAAAACATGATTTTCATGCAGGACAATGCTCCATCACACGCGTCCAAGTACTCCACAGCGTGGCTGGCAAGAAAGGGTATAAAAGAAGAAAATCTAATGACATGGCCTCCTTGTTCACCTGATCTGAACCCCATTGAGAACCTGTGGTCCATCATCAAATGTGAGATTTACAAGGAGGGAAAACAGTACACCTCTCTGAACAGTGTCTGGGAGGCTGTGGTTGCTGCTGCACGCAATGTTGATGGTGAACAGATCAAAACACTGACAGAATCCATGGATGGCAGGCTTTTGAGTGTCCTTGCAAAGAAAGGTGGCTATATTGGTCACTGATTTGTTTTTGTTTTGTTTTTGAATGTCAGAAATGTATATTTGTGAATGTTGAGATGTTATATTGGTTTCACTGGTAATAATAAATAATTGAAATGGGTATATATTTGTTTTTTGTTAAGTTGCCTAATAATTATGCACAGTAATAGTCACCTGCACACACAGATATCCCCCTAACATAGCTAAAACTAAAAACAAACTAAAAACTACTTCCAAAAATATTCAGCTTTGATATTAATGAGTTTTTTGGGTTCATTGAGAACATGGTTGTTGTTCAATAATAAAATGAATCCTCAAAAATACAACTTGCCTAATAATTCTGCACTCCCTGTATATATATATATATATGAGATTTTTCTACATACACACACACACACATATATACATACATATTATATATATATATATATATATATATATATATTATCGGTATATTTCTTTTTCTAATTAAAAATATTAGTCCTTTCAGGGTAATTAAATTATACAGTAAAGCATACTCACATACAGACACAGACAATATTACTGACACAGACAATCTCATTGACATAAAAACACAAGCTCACTGTCACACACAAATGGTCACTACAGACAAGCTCACTGCACACACACATGGTCACTACAGACAAGCTCACTTCACACACATGCTCACCACAGACAAGCTCAGACAGACTCATGCTCCCTTACAGACAGACAATTTCACCAACACACACACACATAATCCCTACAAACAAGCTCACTGACACACATACAAGCTCACTCACAGAAGCTCCCTCGCTAGCACACACACACACACAGAAGCTCTCTCACTAACACACACACACAAGCTCACTCACTAGCAGGTATACACACACACACACACAGAAGCTCAATCACTAGCAGGTACACACACACACAGAAGCTCACTCACTAGCAGATGCACACACACACACAGAAGCTCACTCACTAGCAGGTACACACACACAAGCTCATTCACTAGCAGGTACACACACAGAAGTTCACTCACTAGCAGATGCACACACACACACACAGAGAAGCTCACTCACTCACTAGCAGATGCAAACACACACACACACAAACTCACTCACTAGCACACACACAAAGCTTACCTGGCATTGGTAGGTGAAGGTGTCAATGTCTGGCCTCTTCATTCCAGTGAGGTCTGGGGAAGGGGCTTGTGTTTGGGAGGCCGGGCTCCAGTGTGGAGGCGGAATATGTGGCCGAAATGAAGGTAAATAGTGCAGGGAGACTGACAGGTCTCCCTCCGGCCGCAGACAGAGAAATTGCGCCTGCTCCAGCCCCCAGCTCCTCCCTCATTACTCCCCTAGGACTGACACAGGCTGGCACAGTCTAAGGGGAGAATCATTTAAATTACAGGAGCCTGATCAGTGATGATTAGGGCTGTCAGCCAAGGTGCCGCATCCCACCGGGAAATTTCCCGGTATCCCAGTGGGCCAGTCTGACCCTGAGTGTACACTCATTTTCCGTACTTACAATTGCTAGAGTACAAATTCTATTGTAGTTTACTTACTTATTGCATTCTTTGTTAGGAAAGTAGTGTATATGGATTTACTATGTTCTACTGTTCGGTAGGATTGTGTTCTTTGGTTAGTGTATATACATATGTTGACTTTAAGTATTTATTTACAGAGTTTGTCCGGATGATGTCACGTTGAACACCGGAAGATAAATGACTGTTATCTGAATGATATACCTGCCCTGGAGAGGCAGTGCCTGCACCAGTATCCTAACATCCCTGTCATAAATGGGCAGTGCCCATGTTACCCATACTGTCCCCACCTGGAGGGGCTGTGCCCATGTTACCTCCAAATGTTCTGTTTGATGGTTATGGAATCCTGCATAAACGATTCCAGCTGTATGTTCAACTGCTCTGATTCATATCGTACTGTTCCACAAATATAGTTTCAAACCCAGCATGGACCCTAACAACGGGGTAACTTTCATGGCCTTTTTGTGACTTTTGGGCATAAGGAAGAACCCTACAAAATGATGAAAAAGAGCAGACCTCTTTATGCATGAGTCAGACCCCTGTGTGTGACTTTACTCTTAGAGGATTTGTGCAATAATAGATTAGAATGTGCTTCCCGAATTTCCACAAAGTTAAATAAATAATCAACATTATCAGTATTTGTGGGCCTGCAATGGAAAAGTTGTATGTATTCTACTGACTGCTACCTAATTAACACATATATAATAATTTATATAAATATAGATAAACAGAGACAAACACAACAAAAAAGTATTGTTCAAAACATTTAACCAATATATATCCAATATAACACAATTCGGATTGGTGGATATAAAGCTACAAATAAAATATATATATTAAATGCCAAATTACCGTGTCAGATACCAGTTAAGAGTAATCTGAAAAATCTCTCATTCTGTAGAATAATAAAATGCTAAATAATAGATAAAACATACTGTGCCTAAAGTAACATAAATGCACACAACTATATAACAGTGGCCCACCAATGCATCACATTACTTTTTCTTGTTCTGTTACTCCCACAACATGGAGGAAAGGAGAAAGAGATGCCTTGCACATTGAACATGGCTGAGTGATCAGAAGCTGCGATAACTGAAGTTGTGTTACGTTCTTTCAAATGAAGCATTTATTACCAGAATATGCCTGCTGTTCCAAAAATGTGAATAGTAGCCCAGAGTTTATGTAGTGGCCTATAAATACCAGGTGCAAGGCAACCACAAGCCATCTGGAAGGTTTGGTTGGCCACACAACTAGACTTTCTTAATAGAATAAATACATTAGCATGGTCAATAGTTCTGCTATACTTAGCTTTGGGTGTTCCATCCATCTTCTTCTGGAATAAGGTGGGGCACAGGTTCAGAGAATTAAAATGCAGTTTCTGGTGCTTGGCATAGCGCTCAAGTTAAGGAATTGTGATTAGGTTCCAGTCTGGACTAAAAGTGACATTGTGAAATCAATAGGGAAAATATATATATAATACACAGATCTTCAAAATCACTGTCCTCTATGGCAGTGGTAGGCAAACGTCGGCACTCTCGAAGGTTTGGACTACGTTTCCCATTTTGCCTTTACAACCATAATCCTGGCATCACGTGAGATGTAGTCTGCCAAAATTTGCCAATGCCTGCTCTAGGGCATATCTCACCCATCCTACTACTGACCAACCAATCCAACATTGTGGTGGTAGACAAAGAATGGAAGACTGCTGTGGTTGTGGATGTGGCCATAATGTCAAGAAGTAAAATGAGAAGGTGGACAAATACCAAGGGCTGAAAGAGGAACTAGAAATGATGTGGAAAGTAAAGGCAGTAGTAGTCCCAGTTGTGATAGGAGCACTTTGGGCTATAACCCTCTAGTTGGGGGAGTGGCTTCAACAATTTTCATGTGGAACATCTGAGATCACAGTCCAAAAGAGAAAATGAAGGAACAGCTAAGATACTGCGCAGAACCCTCAGACTTTCCAGGCCTTTAAAGAACCAGACTTTGGTACACAGGCATCTGCATCTGGGACCAAGAGACAGCATCAGGTAAACAGGAAACAATGTTTAGATACACAGCAATGCATGCTGGTAAAACACAGAGAGTGGAGCATTAAAGTTCTAGACTGGAGTAAACGGGATAAGGTATATTCAATAAACAAAAAATACAAGGGCTTAAAATAGGTTGGTATAGATCACACAAGTACTTAGCTGAAGGGACACTGGGTAAAAAAAGAAATAGAATGTAAACACTTGTACACACAAGCAGAGGCTTCAATCACAATATGTGTCATGCTTGCTATGGGAATGGAGTGACAGGATCGACATTAGGCTTCTGCAGTCCTGCAAAGGTGAGATGTTGTAACCTAGCAGGAGATTCGGCACCTAGGAGGGATCAAGGTAAAAGGACAAACCTTTGTAAAACTGTTTTCTTACTTACAAGGGAATGGTGCAAGGGTATTCTACATATGATGGTTTAAGTAACTCTTTAAGATGAACCTGGGACAGGTTTCTTTAAAGGCCAGAATCCTGCCTGTCAACACACCAATAGAACAGCATTATATAAGACACCAGGCTGTGATACACTCCAGTAACTGATAAAAAAAAAAAAAGTCAACCAATATTCATTATTATTTTAGTATGGATAAGGAAATGTTTGGAAAGAGAAAGATTTCAAAAGAAGATGCAACAGTAATTTGTACAGTGAAAAAGCAAAATATGACAGTTGCACAGCTTGATTGCAAGAGAGTAGAGGTAAAGATGCAAAGTTACTCCATTGCTTGTACAATTTAAACACCTTCAGGGGATTCTGAGGGGATTGTAAATATTTTTATTTGGGTGTGTACAAGCCTTTAGAGTCACTTTCTTCTTTTTACCTTTAAAAATCAAAGCTTATGATGCCAAATGCAGGTAACGCTTCTTAAAGAGAAGAACCAAATCCAATGCTCCTCTCTCTAAGAAGCATTGGATTGGCTGAGTGTGGAGTTTGCTATGTCCACAATGCATCTTTATGAGAAGAATCTGATTGGACCATAGATCAGCAAGGATGTTGATTTCATCATGGAAGGATTGAGCGGCAGCCAGCAGACTGCCCAAAAGTGAGTTTTTGCAGCTTTTTTGGCCTCCGACGCTCCAAATGCATCCTGATGTCTACTCCGGACGTCATACATAACGCGGAATGCTCACACACTGCACCTTTATTTTTAAAGATACAATGTGCCTTTTTATGATGTCATCTCCTTATGACATCACACATACATGTAACTAATCACTACACATATAGTGTATTTAACTTCCTGGTTGCTCCTAGTTCATTGCACTGTCGTGGATTCTGTACACCCAAGAGCGCGTTATATTACTCTTCTTATTCTGATTTCGAACCATGGCTTGTTTGACAATTCTTGCTCTCTGTAACCCTGACCTTGGCTTGTTTCCTGATTCTCCATTATCCATGACCTTGGCTTGTTAATTGTTTATACTGTGTGTCTGCTTGCAGACGTTCTGACTTATTTCTCATTTTAGCCTGTACACTCTAAGGACCAGTATGCAGGCCTACCTTGTTTTAACCTAGGTTTGTGTGTTCGGGTCAGGCCAATCCTGACACCTTCACAGCATGTATTTATGATATATAACATACAGCTTTCAGTCTTGTTTTGAAAGCTGTTGTTTTTCCATGTTTACAGGGGATTCAATTGTGAAAAACACTGTAAATCGAAATATGGTGTCTGGCCTTCAAGCAGTAACAGCTTTCACTGGAGCGCAATGTGCAGGTTGTATTGCAGAGGTTTATGGGAAAATGTTGAGCTGGTTTTTTTCATTGTGGGAAAAAAAGAAAAGCTAATGATGAAAAAAATCAGGCCATGGGAAAAATATTTCCCTTTTTTGGTATTAGAAAACATGCATCTTGCATCATTTAAAATAAAATAAAGAAAACAATAAATAAATTCGGATGTATGTCTCTCATTCATAACCTGTTACAAGTCATCATTTGTCTTTTTTTTTATTAATCGGAGATATGCATTCTTGGACAATAAATGTCAAGAGTGTCCCATTAAGGGAATTAAACTGAAATATATATTTCACCTTTCTTGCCGGTGTCATTAACACTTATCTAGGAACGTCTGCTCTCTCTGAGCAGTACGCTCACTCAAGATGTCGCTATCACAACCTCAGGTTCATTGGCAGCTCACTTCTTTCCAGTGACGCGTATTCAAAAGGAAGCCTTCCTGTACAGAGAGCGGAAAACATCGAACAGACTTTCAGAAAAGATAAAATCCACCGCCAATCTTAAGTCCTTGAAAAATCCTTTGTCATTGTATCTGCAATCAAAAAGTGGAGATATTTACAAAGCCATTAAACATTAACAGAAATTATCACATGTCAGATTTGTAATACTTTTTTTTGCAGATGGACATATTTCTAGCATTGTGGTTAGAATAGACGCTGCAAAGGCCTGGATATAACATAAGGTTCATTCAGCACTTTCATTCTTCCTAGGTCAATGAAAATGAATATCAAACTTGCTGTGTTAAGGAAATGTCTTAAAAATTTTTTACAAAATTTAAAAGGACACGAGAGGCACACAGACCACTTTAACTCATTAAAATGGTCTGGGTGCAGTGCCCCTGTCCTCTTAACCTTGCAACGGTAGTTATTGCAGTTACTAAGAATCCACAATAATTACCTTGCGTTGTTAAGACTGCCTCTAGTGGCTGTCAGACTTCTGGCGGCTTTTCATACATACGAAATTACGTCATATGGATTTTGAAAGAGAGACTGCATATCAGCTGGAATTTATTTTTTAGGTGAGTGGGTACACCCTAGAAGGCTCTTCTGGCTGCAGCAAGATGGCACAGGACTGACAATTAGATGAAACCATAAGTAGGCGCCATGCACTGCCGGAAGTGACGCGTCCGAAGTGGGCGGGTCTACAAGGATTTTCAGCACCAAACTTTGAAATAAAAAAGGGGACAGAAGGACAGTATTAGTATGCACCTGATGAAGGCATCCAGCCGAAACGCGTTGTGCTTGTTTTAGGAAGAATCTCTTCATGCAGCTTGTTGTGCTTCTTATATAAGCTGAGGAACTTCATCTTTACATCCTACCTATGCTTATATACTGGCACCTGTTTTTATGCAGGCTCATTAAAATGTGAGTAGGATGCAACTATAATAAATAGTTTTAAGATTCACATTGTGGACACTATACAGATTGTATTGCCCTATGTGAGCTTTTCTCTTTTAGAAATACCTCTGGACACATTTTTTCTTTTTAAAGTGTATGTATATATATTTCCTGACCATTATTCATGGCAGCATTTACTCATGGGTTAGCTGCTCCCCTTACAGCAGAAAGGACAGGAAATAGAACTTTGAAACTGGTATAAATAGATCCTCCCCCTTCCCATCAGGCAGTCTTTTTTTCTGTCCTTCACAGCAGTTTGGAAGGAGTCTGCTTAAGCAGGCCTAGATTTTTTATTTTATGCTCACCAGGCAATATTTTTTAGGCCGTGCCAGGGTTCAGCCTCTAAGCCCTGAAGACCCAGCAAAACGCACTAAGATGAAGTGGCTGGCCTGGGTACCCCCTTTAGTGACCGGGGGTCGGACCCAAACTCTCCCATGAAAGGGATGAAAATGGTCCACTGCATGCCAGGGTTCAGTCTCTTATCCCTGAAGACCCAGCAACAGGCCAGCTTGGGTACCCCCTCAGGGGATGTATGTGATATAAGGAAGTTGCTGACCTATGCCTACATGAAGCCAGGCCAGGGTGCAGCCTCTTATCCCTGAAGACCCAGCAAACAGCATATCGGTAAGAGTTGTCAGCCTGGGTTCCTACTTCAGCAACCAGGGATCTGTCCTATCTCTCTCGGAAGTGATGACAGCGGTCCACTGCATACATGAGGCCCAGTTGAGTCTAAGCCCTTATCCCTGAAGACCCAGCAAACAGCACATGTGTAAGAGTTGCCAGCCTGGGTACCTCCTTCAGCAATCAGGAGTCTAACCTATCTCTCTTCCTGAAGGGATGACAGCGGTACATTGCATGCATGAGGCCCAACAGAGTTGTATACCTATTCTATGTATTCCACCTTGCATGGTGATGATGATGGCATATGGGGTACAGATGGAAGCCTATAGTTTAAACAGTTTAGGCTGTCAGTTGTTCAAATCCCCATTTTGCCGATGAAACACAGGCCTGCAACGGAGCTGATAATGCAAGGAGGCATTGTGCAAAGGAGTGCTGATAATGCAATGAGACACTATGGAAAAGAGTGCTAATAATGGATATCCTGGCTGTATAAAGTCTGCTGGAATTCCACAGCCTGAAGTCAGAGAAATATCCAAGGTAAGAGAACCTTCTTGGGTGTCTGATTTAAGTACACACATGTATATGACAGGTTTTAAAAACCTAAAGTCCACACACACACACACTTGTTTCTATCAAGGCATGTGGCATTGATTACTGTTATCTGTGCATTATCACAAATAAGCAGGCTTTGCAGACAGTGGAGGATTATACTGCACAGGAGACCACTGGGCCTCAGTATCTGTACATGATCTGGTGGTGGTACAGCATTGGTATGTTTCCACTACATGCTCTAATGTATGAATTGGTATGAAGTCTCAGTGTGTGTCCAGTATATGCTCTAGGTATGAGTTACTATGAGGACACGGCCTCAGTATAAGTATCCACTATATACTCTATGTATAAGTTACTATGAGGACACAGCCTCAGTATGTATGTGTGTGTGTATATATATATGTATATATGTATGTATGTGTGTATATATGTGTGTGTGTGTGTGTGTGTGTGTGTGTGTGTGTATATGTATGCACTATATGCTCTATGTAGGAGTTACTATGAGGACTCGGCCTCAGTATATGTTCCCACTATATGCTCTTGGTATAAATTAATATGAGGACTCGGCCTCAGTATATATGCTCTATGTAAGAGTTACTGTGAGGACACAGCCTCAGCATGTGTATATATATCCACTATATGCTGTATGTATGAGTTACTGTGAGGACACAGCCTCAGTATATGTACCCACCATATGCTGTATGTATGAGTTACAATGAGGACTCTGCCTCGGTATATGTATCCACTAGATGCTCTGTGTATGAGTTCTATGAGGACACAGCCTTAGTATATGTACCCACTATATGCTGTATGTATGAGTTACAATGAGGACTCTGCCTCAGTATAGGTATCCACTAGATGCTCTGTGTATGAGTTACTATGAGGACACAGCCTCAGTATTTATATCCACTATATGCTCTATGTATGAGTTGATCTGGAGACTTTGCCTCAGTGTGTGTTCTTTATATGATTGATGTATTAGTGGAAGCACAATATTTGTTAATGATATAAGTACATCCGCTATATGAGTCCTATCTAATACTGGTTCTATGTGTGGGTTGTGAGTCACAACCTCAGTATATGTGAGTGGTATATTATGTGCATAAAGTTCTGTTAAAACACTGCCTCATTTTATCTCACTCATATAATCTTAATATGTGTACAGGCATGGTGTCACTGTACATAGCAGAGGTAGGCTATGTATGATTACTGTTTAAACAGACTCAGTATATGTAACTGATATATCTGTGCATAAAGTGCTGTCAGAAACATCCACAATGTATGTGATTCATATAATCTGTATGCAGGTTGGTAGTATTATATAACCCTAATTTATACACGGCATTGGTAGATTTAATATTTACAAATGATCTAAAGTCTGTTTTGCGCTGAAATGTAACAATGCCCAATTCTAGCAAATACAAATGCACTGTTGTACTGGGTAAGTAATTTTACAACATGACAGGAGGCTTCATATTTTGCAATAACTCTCTTTACTAACTCCACACAACAGTAAAGAAAAGTGAGAAACATTAACCAATCAAAAATGCAGTAGGAGGTACAATATTCACAGTGATGAGGCTCCTCCCCCTCTTTCTTTACTGCTCCATCAGCAGACAGGTCAGAGTTTTGGCTCTTCCCTTTTATTTATTATATTTGCTATATTACATTTGTAGTTACTGTATTTCTATGTACTGTATATTTGTATTTACATAGGTAGTTACTGTACATCTTCTTATAGACGTTTTACTCCCTGGGACTTTATCCCTTGGTGAGGGGGGGGTTTTCTCCTTTTTTTCCCTTTCTCAGGGCTTTTCCCTTACCCCCCTTTTCGTTCCCACGCGGTCCGCCGGCTTTTCCCCGCCGTCGGACCGACCGTTTTCCTCCTAACTGAGGGTAACGCTCACCCTCCTCCACCCGTTCCCCACCTCGCGGCTTCACAGCCGCGCTGTTTCTACCGCACGGCGGGAAATTACTTCCCGTTTTTTCTCCGGCGGCCATCTTGGATCTCGCGTCTCGCGAGATCCACGGCCGCCATCTTAGGAGCATTGCGGTCTCCTCATTTCGGCAACCGATCACCTCAGTAACCGGACGCAATCAGGCAGGGGTCCCCAGGTCAGTCAGCCTTCCCATATAAGGTTAAAAACCTGTGCATTGGGGTGAGGCCCCATACTGATTATCATTACTGGCTCTCCAGTGTATTTATGTGCCATTTTGCTACATTCAGGGTGAGGCCCTATTATCTAATTACCGCTGCTATCAGGTGGATTTTGTGCCACCTATATATATACATGCATATATAACTGGGTGAGGCCCAGAAAAAACCCAATACCCCCTGCTAGGGGAAACTGGTGCTTTTGCTGCCAGATTTATCATTCTCACCCTGCCGGGGTGCATATTCCTATTTTATTGTTATTATACATATACACTACCCTGCTGGGGTTGCCTGGGTACTGCAGGTACCTTTTCACTCACTGGGATTGACCCCTAGCCCAACGTTTACTGTGCTTTCTCTATTACAGCGGTCCTACTCCTATCATTATGGATACACCCCAAAACCCTGCGGATTTCCAAACC